CCAGTGTATTCCAATGGCCCCTGGATTCCAGGAGATTCCACAGTGTCCTGGGGTTCCCTTGTCTCCCTGACTTTTGGCAGTGTCCAGGGTCCCTTTGTTCCCAGGAGGTTCCGTTGTTTCCATCAGGCCCTGCCACATCCCATACCCCCTTTGGTTCCATGAGGTGCTGCAGGGTCACAATATCCCCTTTATTCCATGAGGTTCCGCCACGTCCCAGAGTTCCTTTGATTCCATGGGGTTCCACAGTGCCAAAACTCCCTGGTTCTTCTCCTTCCAACTTTTCTGGGCCCATTCTATCCCTGCCTGGGATGGAGCACCATTGTGTTTCTGCAGGAATGGATCCATGGCCATCCTACCACTGCACCAATTGAATGCTGCAGAAATGTCACTGCAGGCCCGACCCTGGATGCAGGAACAGTCTGGGAACTCCAGGCCTGCTGACATTCAGCAGAGTCAGTCGGGGTCACAAAGAGCACAAGTGATTGACTGCAACCTCTGCAGTTCTCTGGCATTGCTGGGGACAAATGTAGGAACTGCCAGGAGCTCTGCAGAGCCCTGACAGTGCCACTGCAATCCCAAGCTGCATTGCCCGGCTCAACACTCAGCACAGCCAAGGCCACAACCCTTCCTGAAAGGTGTCCCTTATGGGCAGAGCCAGGGGGACAAACCCTTCCATCTGTCCCTACAGATTTTGAATTCTCATCCCCCACTTAGGGACAAAGTCAGGCTACATTGGGTGTTTAGCTTTGCATTTGCTTCACTGGTTTGTGCTTCCAACACCTCAGTCTGGGTAGAGTCTGGCCCCCCAAAGAAAACAAGATATGACTATTAGTGTTTCCCACTGCAGTGGCTGCAACTTGGGCCACAATCTGCCAGGAGCAGAGAGGTCCCTCCTCAAAGAAACTTCTTGGCAATGGAGTTAGCAAGAAAACGGGACAGGCTGTGGGGATCAGTGTCAGGGCATGGCCTGGGAAGTGTCTTGAGCATCCTCCTGTTTAACATGACCGGCTTTTTCATCCTCTTTTCTCTCTGTTTTCTCATACCTGTCCTTTCACAAACCACCATGATCCCACCATTCCCATTCCTTTGGTTCTTCCCTAGAGATCCCATGACAAGTCTTGCACAGTCCCCAAATGTACTTTCTTATTGCCCATCGTAAGAACCCACCTCAAACAGAATCCCTCATCTTCAGCTGGCAAGGTCATCCTGAGCAGCTCTGCCATTGACCCATTTCGTGAAACTCTCACACAGAGATGTTAGAACTTTATTTGAATTGATTTTTTTCCTTTTGGGTTTCCAATGGCTTCTCCAAAAACATGGTAATTCATGTCCTAAGAATAGAAATTCTTTGGAGAAGGAGTTTGGGATATTAGACTCAAAGAATCACAGAATGGTTTGGGTTGGAAGGGAGATAAAAGGTCATCTGGTCCAAACTCTTGGACATGGAGAGTGATGTCTTCACTAATTGAGGCTGCTCAAAGTTTCTGACCTGGGACAAATCCAGGGAGGGGACATCCTCTTCTCTGGGAACCTGCTGGAGTTCTTGCCAGCCCCATTGGTAAATATTTCTTCATTTTATCCAATATAAAGCTCCCCTATTTCAGTTTAAAGACATTACCCCTTGTTCTGCCACTACAGGCCTTAGTAAAACGTATCCCTGTGACTGTCTTAGACTATGAGCACAATATTTTCATCTGCAAACACTTTGGAGGTGCTCAAAGATGTCCCTACAAAAAGTTTGTCCCCATTTTTCTTAGAAGCCTCTGTGGTGGTGTATCCTCCCCCCATTCTCCTCAGGCCTGGTCAGTGATCTCAGGAGCTCCTGATAACCCTCGACCAAACCAGTTGAGCAATGAAGAGCCCCTGGACTGGACCAGGGCTGTGGGGAAGTGTCTCTGGACTGTACCAGGTGGTCCTGGATGATACAGGTGGGAACAATCCGGAGTGGAACAGCTGGGGAACTCAGGATAATCAGTCATCCCATAAAAGCCTTAGAACATTCCTGACCTGACTCGCAGCCCAAATGGAACAGATTGGATACAATTCCCAAATATTTTGGAAACTCCAGTCATTCCTGAAACCAGGATGGAAATTCAGCAGTCACCTTGTGAGCCCACACCCAGCGGGGCTGCGGGAGGCCCTGGCAGCTCCCCAGCACCTCCCTCTCAGTGGGACACCTCTGGCAGCCTCTCCCAGCTCAGGAACCCTCCAGTTTGCAACACTCCAAAGACCGCTGCTGATGCCCAGGACAATTCTGATCCCTCTCAACAAACACTCCTCCAGCTGTGACCCTTGTCTGTTGGCAAACACAAAGGGATTTGTGGGAGTGTTTCCCTGACAAGAAGGAGAATCTGGGAGAGGGACCTTTCCACAGCCAGCTCTTGATGTGTGCACACATCTCTGCCTGGGTGTGGGTGTGAATTGACTGTGGTGGGAATATTGTTATTGAGAATCTGTAATTCAGTCACTGTTAAAATTGTAGCAGATGCTATTGAATCACTTGATAACTGTTCAACTGATCAATAATTAAATGGTACTAATCTCTTTTGCCCCTTATCTTTGGATCCAAATCCTTTCCACCCTGACCCTTTTGCATCCCAAGGTGCTGTGTAAATAATTTTGTTTCATCAAAAAATATACATTTTTTGTGACGTCTCTTTAAAATCTTCCTGCTTAGCTAAACTACAAAACAACTCCAATTAGCTGTAGAAGTCTGGAAGGATGAAGCCAGTTAAAGGAAGGGAAATAATTTGGTTTTAGGTGTTTTAATGGTCCCCACGGTGTGTTTGGAGCTGTATCCACCATCGTGAAGTACTGAGAGGAGACTGAAGAAGTTGCTCAAGAAGTCAGAAGCCAAACTGCAAGTGCCTTGAAGCATTGCTGGGCCCCACTGAGGGCAGGCACTGCCAAAGCCTCCCCAGGGACTCCTTGGAGCAGCTCCTTGGAGGCCAGGAGTGCAGGCAGACAAAGGCTCTGGGCAGGCCCCTGCAATGCTGAGCAAAGCCTGCCTTGGTTTTGTGGAGCACAAAGGCCAAGGCCTGAGCCCCAGGCCCTGGCCCAGCAGATCCTGCCCCTCCCGGCTGGCTCAGGGCTGTTTGGGGGGCAGTGGGATGGGAGGGGGAGGAACAACAAAGGCCCAAAACTGGGCAACCCCTGCCAGGCTCCTGAGGGAGGGGCGAGGCAGAACCCAAGTGCAGAACCTGCCAGGAAAGTTGCTTGTGGTGACCTGAGTGGCAGAGGCAGCTGCCAGAGGCAAGGGGACAAAGGCCTGGGTGCCTTTGGGCCTTGCAGCCCTGCCAGAGCCCTTGGCCATCTCTCCTGCAGGCTGTCCTGCCCTGGCCCTGTTGCTGCTCTGGCCTTGCAGGCTGCACGTACCCCTCCTGCTTTCCCACCCCCTCCCAGCAGCATTTCTAGACCCTCACTGGTGTCTCTGCACCAGCTCTGGCTGTTCCCTGGAACACAAAACCATGGGATGATCCAGATACTCTCTTGCTGACCTCTTACATCACAAGGCTCCCTACTGGGTGTGTCATAGGTTTACTTGTTCTAAAAAAAACAAGGGGGAATTATTTTTTTCCCCTGCATTGCTGTAAAAGAAAGATGTTGAAGGACGGAGGAGAAAGGTATTTGCCTATGGTGATTGACACACACAAAGGAAATAGCTAGCAGACCCACATTCCAGACTGATAGCCCTGGGAAGATCCCTGGGGGGGGGGGGGGGAAGAGGGGGGTGGTTTTTTTTTTTCTCTCTCCTCAGGAAATGACACTTCACTTTTGCCCTGACTGTAGGGAGGGTGTGAGTTGGAGGGGTCCGAGGTTCACTTTGTTCTCGGTCTGGTCATCTGGCTGTTTCTGGCCCCGGTTTGCCTTTGCTTTTCTGCACCCTCTTCTGCCCCCAGCCCAGACCTGCTCGGATTTCATCAGAGAGGTTTGACCCATCTGCAGAGGAACCCTTTGGGGAGGAGGCCGCCCTCTCCCTCCTCCACTTCCGTGTTGGCAGCAGAGTGTGTCCATCGATGAAAGATGGGAAATCCCGGCCATAGCCAGCTGCAGACAGTGTGAGTTTCGTGGGAAGAGCCCCCTTTTTCCCCTTCTCGGGGTGTGTGTGTAGGAAAATCTCCATTTTCAGCTTCTCCCTCACAGAGGGGGGGCCCAACAGCGCCCCCTGCTGGTCACCACCGAGCACTGCAGCTTCCGCCCCTCCAGTGCTCCAACAGCACCCCCTGCTGGCCGTGGTTAGAATGGTGCCAAAAGGCAGAAAATGCCGAACTGTTTCCTTTTGGAAGGGCACTTTTGGGTACAGGATTATTCTGTGGTTGTTTTCTTTTTGTGTTGTTTTGTTGTTCTGCCAATATACATATATCCTTTAATAAAGGGCTGTTATTTTTTTTCTTTCTCCATACTTCCTCAATTGGAGCCTCTTAATTTTGATTTTACAATTACTTAGGGAAAGGAGTTTGGTCTTCCTCATAACTCATCGTCCTTGGAGAAATACTTCAGTCTCGTTAAATCAAGACAGTTGGGAAGCACCTTGGCAACAGAGTAAGGGACAGTGAAGGCTGAACCTTCCAGTCCCAAGGAAAGTTGGATTGTAATAATTACTGAGGCAATGGTAGCGCTCCCCTCAGGCTACGGTTCAGGTAGCGAATGCTCCAAGGCTGTCAGGGGATAACAGATCATTGCCACTCTTGTCCTTCATCCCAGCCTTTAGCCAAGCAAATGGAGTTCCTGGTACAGTCAGTGCTGCTCCCACATTAGTTGTGCAGAGTTCCTAGTGTGACCAAGGGACACTTCACCACCCCACCCATGACACAAAGGTCAAGGAATGGGAATTCCTAAGAGAGCAGAGCAGCCTGCAGAGGAATGGGGGTGATGTCTGATCACACCTGCTTGCCTGGAGATGGCTGAGCCCCAGCTCCAACCAAGCACCACACAGACGCCTGCTCACTCCCCTCCCGTGGATGTGGGAGAGAACTGGGAGAGTAACAGTGAGAAAACTCGTGGGTTGAGACACAGTTTATTAGGTAGTACACAGATGAGGTAGAGATGGGTGTCGGGGCTTGAAGAGTAGCTGGGGAGGTCTCTGGTGAAGGCTGGGAAACCATGAGCAGGAGAAGCCATGACACAAATGGTGTCACTCTAGTTTTGGTGACTGCTGCACCTTCTTCTTGGGTTTGCTGCTCTGGGTTTTACCTTTTTGCGGTGACGTAGAGCTTTTCAGATCAGCCTTCGGCAAACAGCCTTTCCCCATCACAAACACCCGTGGGCTCTTCTGAGATGGCTTCAGGTTAGGAAGTCTAGGAAGAAAGGGACATTTCCAGCCAGTCAGCCACTCGCCTGTCTCCTCACAGAGCACACAGTGTCACATCCTCTCTCCATGCAAGCAGCGAGCAGCAAATGAAACAGAACTGCACTCCCTGCCATGGAGGCAGCAGAGGTGGAAGGGCAGAATCACAACCAGTTATGGGCCTGGGGACTAACTGTAGCACACAGGGTTCCAGGTAGAGAAGGAGGCTGTGCTTGTCCCATAAGGAAGCATAGCTAGGGACTGGCTGGTCCCTTGACAGCCGTTCTGGATCTCTCATTCCATATTTTGCAGCCCTCCAGGAGCTTAGTGTTTCATACAGTGTCTTTTCCCATTGTCTCCACACAGATCCATAGACATCTCCACAGACATCCGGCCAAGGCTTCTTATTGTGCTCCTGTATGCTGTGTGTTCCTGCTGCCTCTCTGGGGCTGGCTGTCCCCAGGGATGCACGCTCACCACCCCAGTCAGAGGGACTGAAGGGAGGGTGTCAGAGGATGGACCAGGCTCTGCTTGGTGCTGCCCATCAACAGGACAAGAGGCAATGGGCAGAACCTGATGCAAAACATGTTCCACCTGAACATGGGGGAGAACTTCTTTCCTGTGCAGGTGACAGGTTGTCCAGAGAGGGTGTGGAATCTCCCTCACTGGAGGTATTCCAGAACTCTCTGGACACAATCCTGTGCCATGTGCTCCGGGATGACCCTGCTTGAGCAGGGAGGGTGCACCAGATGGCCCATCTTGTGATACCCACCAGGAGCATGGATTGGAAAGCACATGGACATTTCCTACCTGCACAGCATTTCGGCCTTAAATTTCCCCACATGCGTCGGGCAGAATTTCACATGGAAAATCTGATTCTGGCCAGCAGGGATGGTACCGCAGTGGGGCTCGATGGAGAACAGTGGTGGGTCATTGACATCATCTGGAGACAATTCCAGGGAGGAACTAAGGCCCTTCAAAGAGCAGCACAGCTGCTTTGAAAGGCGCAGACTTGGCTGGGGCTGAGTTGACTGGGGCTGAGTTGACTGGGGCTGAGTTGACTGGGGCTGAGCTGACTGGGGCTGAGTTGACTTGAGTGGTGATGCCTCGTGCACCTGCCTTGTACGATGCCCGTCCCAGCGATCCACAGCAGCAGAGGACAAGAAATAACCTGCAGGAGGGAAGAGGACATCTTTCAAAGACAAAATCCTTTGTTTCCAACAACTCTGCTTCCTGCTGCAGGTGGATAGAAGAGAGCTGAGATGCACTTGGAACACTTCTGGCCAAGTACTTTCAGCAGGAGATAGAGTGGCTGGGAGAAGGGTCTCTGCCTGCAGCACACACTACCTTGCCGGGGCAGGAGGCTTGGTTTTAGACAGTGACTTTACATTTGCCCTGGAGTGGGGAACTGCATACAGGCAGCGGCTGCAGGGCAGCTCACTTGTTCCACCCTTGTTTTTCCCAATCTCTGAGACTTCCCAAAGAGGTGCCCTGATGTCCCCCTTCCCAGTCCTGACCCAGCACGTGGCTGTCCCTGGAGCCCGGCTCAGCTCCTGTGCAGAGCACAAGTGGCAGAGCAAGAACAGGAGGGGCTAAAAGGCAGAGAGAGGGTAAGAAGAAAACTCTCCAGCTGCAGCTGGGAAGTGGACAGGGATGAAAAAGCAATTAATGTTTTGGGGTGAAGTGGCAGGGTCTTCTCCCTAGGCCCTCAGCTACCAACTGAAGTGGCCTGGGCACCACCCAGAGCCAATGACTTGCGCGTCAGAGTGGACAAGAATGGCTTCCCAGAACTCTTTGATGGTATTTCCTCCTCCAGATTCCCCTCCCAGCAGTATTTCAGGGCTACATTCCCTGTATTGGACATCTGGAAACTGAAAAACAAGGAGGAGAAATAAAGCATGTAATAAAGTAACACTGTATGGTGGGCTCCTGGTACCACCTTCCGCTAAGGAACATCTTCCCCAGGCAACTCTGCCACATTCAGAATTGCTGCCCTGGGTGCCCCAAACAAAGTGTTTCAAAGTCTGGAAGTTTATGAGGAAAGGGCCAACATGGTGCCCAGCACTCACGTGCTTATCTCTGTTTGGAAGAGCTCAGTCTGCTTCAGTTGAACCTCAACCGTGTCCAGTTTGAACTTGGCGTAGTCAACCTGAGCACTGAGGACAAGCTCGACCTCGTGGCTGCTCTTCTCCAGGACGGTGTGAGGTGGTTCCGGGACTGCCTTGACCACCTGCAGGCAGAGGAGGGAAGAATCACTGAGCAGAGCCCAGAAAGCCAGGCTGAGCAGGGAAATCTTTTGGCCTCCAAACTTGGCCACATAGAAAGGACATTCAGGTTTATTTCTCTGGAAAGATGACAAAATTGGACTGGTGTACTACAGTATTGGTTTCTACCCACTGATCAAAGCAGTCACCACCACAGCTATTAATACACCCCTGGGGATTATGGCCAGCTGTCAGTCCCTGTGCTTCAACCCTGTAGAGCCTCTGACCTTTTCCCTGGTCCCGTATAAATCTAGCAGGTCTCAACATTAGGATTAAGTTCCCCTGCTAGAGCCCTGGGGGTGGAGAAGCCCAAGACTGACTAGTTCTAGAAAGAACTTTTTCCTTCTTGTCTTAGGAGAAAGTGCTCTCCAGATGGCACGTGAAAGGTGGGAGCAGGCTGTGGTCATTTTGGGATGTGAATGATCTCACTGCGAAAGTCTCCAACTGCTGATGCCCTGATGGGGAAGTTGGGTTTACAGGACTCACAGTGGTTCAGAAACTCAGAAAGAACCTTCACCAAGATAGGTGTGTTTGGCAATAATGATAGAAAAAGCAAGACTTTCTGGAGATGATGCTTCTCCAGACTCCTGCATACTGTCACACAGTGCCTGGGCTGCTCCAGAATGAGATATCTCCACAATACAGAGGCCACAACCAAAATCTCTGGTATCGGTGTAGGCAGAGCTTGGAGTTCACTGGTGTAGGCAGAAGAGCACTTGTGCTGCTCTCCCCTTCAGAACAAGAGACAGAATGCAGTGGAATTAACTCCTTGTGGGTGACAAGGCACCAAATCAGATGAAGAGATTTTAACACTGTAAAATGGGATAAAATCAAACATGACCTCCCATTCAACACGGGTTGCAACACTTGGCTCGTGGCACAGACTGGCAGTTTGCGTGTGGATAAAGGTCTCTTGCCCAAAGGCTTTGCCCTGTGGTGTGAGCCCACCCGCTCACTGCGCATCCGCCTCTCCCTAAAAGGCACTGCTGGTGAACCTCCCTGCTGGAGCCAATGCCCAGGGGAGGCAGGAGCTGCTCTGCCAGCAGCGCTGGTGCTCTGCTGTTGTCGGCAGGTCCTTTTGCAGCAGCTCGGTGAGCTTTTGCTGCTGTGCTTCCTACCTTCTGCTTCAAAGGCCAGTGGGCTCCTGGGACTCTCTCAGTGGTATCCTCCCACTTCTCAGTGCACATTTCGTTGTCCCAGTCATAAACCTCCTCTGGTGGCAGCTGGTATTTGATCTTGGCCACCTTACACTTCACAGAGTGCCTTCTGAAGGTGACTGGGACATTGGATTTCAAGGTCACTCTGATATCCTTGGCACAGCCAGGCTGGAGGTGTCCCACCTAGGGAGAACCAGAGAGTCAAGACCAAACTGGAATCACTGGCAAGGGCAGCACTGACAGCAAAAGGGACTGATATGGCAAGCAGCTGTGCTGGGAATCAGCACCTCAGTGAGGATTTATGTGATATTTGATAGAGCAAATATGAACAGAAGGTCCCACCTCCCAGAACGCGGAGCCTTTTCTGCTGGGCTGACAGCTCTGCCCCAGCAAAGACAGGGATTGCATCTCCTGCATGGCACTGGAATGGGCTCTCACTGGTATGTAGTGACTCCCTGCCAGCTCCCAGGAACACCAGGAAAGGGCTTGAGCAACCGGGAAAGGCAGGGTTGTCCCAGCTCACCTTGGGGGAGAACTGGAATGGGGTGTCTGCCAGCCACTCAAACCGCATCACCTCCTCCTTGCTGCGGTTGGTGACTGTGAAAGTCTTGTTGCAGAGCCTCCTGACTGCACACTCCCCAAACTCTATGTGATTCGCTCTGACAGCTGTGAAGAAGAAGAGCAAGAGATCTCAGCATGCAGTGAGGTCCATCCGCCCCCCTCACTTTCAGAGATGTGTGTATGTTCAGCTCTTCCTTGCTCCAAGCCTCCCTCCCTCCCTCTGGGAGGTCCCCAAGCCCCTGGCTGTGCCTGTGCCCAGCAACAAGCAGCACAGTACACACTGCTCTGTGTGCATGGCTGACAAGCTCACAGGCCCCCAAGTTCAGCGGGTGACAGCCCAGCCCTGGCTAGAGAGGGGATGTGCATGATCAGACATTTTCCTCTTCCTCGCTCTACCTTGGCAGCCTCTCCTCTCTTACCCTCAATGATGTCGTCCTCCAGATTGCCCTTAGCATTGCTCTCCTTGCTGTCTTCTGCTAGTCCAGGGAGGTTATCAAGGGTGAAGTCATCATTGTGGCCTTCACCCACCAGCTCTATGTTGATCTCACTGTTGCCTGACACTGGCACATGGATCTTCCCTTCCAGACGTTGGGCCAGGGTGGGTTTGAAAAACACGTCAAACTCTGCTGATTGCCCACGTTCCAGGAGCAGGTAAGGCTTCTTGGGATGCTTCTTGGCTGCACGGCAATGGGAATCAGAGTTAAGTGATAGAGCTGTACAGAGGAAATATTTCCCTGGAGTATACGAGGAATAAGAGGTTGGAATCAGCTGCTTTTAAGCACAGGTTCTCCCACCAGTGGTTCCAGACCCTCTTCCTGTGTTCACGAGACTATGACACCATCTCACATATCACCACTCAAACAGCTTAACCTCAGGTTAACGCCCAGCCCTCATTCCATCTGCTTCCAGCCAGCTCCTGCCATATGGAATGTTGAGCCAAGGAGTGGTTTTGGCTTCTGCTGGCTGGCTTGTGTGCTCAAGGGCTGCCCCTGTTCAGGCTGGCACCTTCCCACACGTAGCAAAGACCTCAGCCAGTCCACTGAGATGGTGATAGTCCCTCACAACTCAACCCACCGTGTCTCAAAGAACAGAAAAACTTCCTACAACTTGCTAAGAGGAAACCCTGCAAGGAGTCCACAAGAAAAGCTCGGGGGACAGAGAGACCAAGGAAAGAAGCTATGTCTAACACGTGGCTGTTGCTTAGACAAGCCAAGAACAGGGCACACCTTTTCCTTCTGTGAATGATCACGCTGCACGGTTAATGAATTTACCTTTTCCAGTGGAGTCCTTTTCCATGTCTGCAATGTGGAAGGCGTGGAATGCGGACTGCCTGCCTTTCATAAAGAAAACTCCCTTGTCATCCATGACATGAACTGTAAACTGAGAAAAGGGAACACGAAGCACAATGACATTGGTGTGAGTAGGGGTTGGCACAGGGGTTGAGCCCGTACGGCCGCTGGTCCAGCACGGGGAACCCAGACCACCTCCCCACCTCAAACACAGCGCCCAGCACAAAGGTTATGTGAAATCACACAGGGAAAAAAGAGTGTTCAGAAGCACATGGATAGAACTGACATAGAGCCAAACAGGACAGTCAGTCACGAGCAGAATGTAATGAAACCACAACTAAGTTTAATTAAAATGGAGTCAACCAGTATCAAACGCAATGTCATGGAACCGGGACGTCACACACGCCCACATGAGAACAAAATGTGAGCTGGGAGACGGGGGGAAAAACACCCCACCACCTTTCTTGTCTTGTGTTCAAATGACAAGGAAAGACTGGACAGAACATCACAGTTTTTGGGACCTTTCCTCCACAGGACAAGCACTTGTTCCCAACCCAGAGCATTCCCTGAGCAGGTCCTTACCTGGGTGGGTATGATGCCATTGTTACGAAGGACTAGGGGGAGTGTCTGTGAATCCCCCAGCAGGAGCCTCCTGAAGCACAGCACAGGGTTTCCCCTCTTGCTCCGAAGGCCCGGGCGCTCGACTGTCACCTCAGGCACGTGCCCCTCTCCACTGACAGTGAAGGTCAGCTGTTGGGGTTTCATCTTCATAGAGCTGCTGGAGAGGCACAGAAACCATTTCAGCCAGAACCTTCCAGAATAACAATTCTAAATAATTTCCCTGATTTGAATCATGCTGTACAGCAGATAAATAATGAGGCACTAGATGAGACGTGGTAAATCCTCTGGCTGCAGTGATAGGAGACATATGCAACAAGCAAAGGCACATCATGAAAACAGTACAAAAGCAAGAAGGGAAAACCAAATCAACACCACCATCAGTAAAGATTATTTCCAAGGATCCTAAAAAAGGAATTGCTTGTTAGGGCAGAAAGCTGACTTCCCTGTTCCAGTTCAGCCACTAAAGGCTTGGGGAAGGGCAGGTCAGAGACCCAGTACACAGGTCCCAGGGAGAGGAACCAGGCTTCTCTTTGATAAGAGCTCCAGTCACTCTCCTGACATAAAAATAGCTTAATGCATACCAGGGAACCACACAGGATCACTTCCTTTTACAGAAATAAGGAGGAAATCTTGACTTGCTGGCACAGAAACTGCTTCATCTAAGCCTTTGTCCTTGGAAAGCCCCAGCTCAGCTGTTGCACTTGTCAGTAACTTCCAGCTGGCTACCTGAGGCCCTCTCTTCAGAGTCCCTCACACAGCCTGAAGTATCCTCCTCATTTTTCTGCTCTGCTCTGCCTAACAGTTACTGCCTCCCAGATCATCTCATGTCAAGTACTCTGCCTAAGGGTACTGAAAGCATTAGAGGTACCAAGAGGAGAGGCAGCTACCGGAACGGTCCCCCCAATACTTCACAGGGTCACTACCTTTTTGGGCTAACAAGGGAAGCTGTGAAAGTGCAGTGGTAGTCCTCCTTTTGTTCTGGAGTGAAGGTCACTGTAGCAAAGGCATGGGATAAGCCAGGAATGCTCATCTCGACAGGATCCAGCTTGAAGATGTTGCTGATGAGGCTGTGAGGCTTGGGGGGAACCCACAGTGCAGTGTTAGGAGGAAACATCTTTCAATGTGACCCAGTACATCCTTAACAGCCCCTCTCTGAGTGTGCTTTCGAGAGATGTTTAGAAGGATTCCCGCCAAAGACCCAGAAGCGTGAGCCAAAATTTGCTTGAGAGATGTGGAATTCAATGCCAGTGCCCCCCTGGCATTGCTGCTCTGCCCTGCAGTTTGACCTGCGCTGAGCTGGACTGGTCCAGCTGGGCCAGAGAACGCAATGACTCTGGAGAACAAGGCAGGTTCTCACATGGCCTTTAGAGAGCAGTGGTCACACTGGCCTCTTGTTCTTACCTCTCCAGGCATGGCTTTGATGGAGAGGACCACGTCACATGGGACACTGTTGCCATTAGAGATCTTGAAGCGAGCTGTGACCCGTTGCCCAACCTGAACTTTGGTGAAGATGAATTTGTTATCATCTCTGATGAACACACCATTGCCTTGCACCGACTGTAACGTCTGGCGGAGATTGACGTTGTTGTGGATCGGGTACTGCTCAAAGATGGACGTGACATCTTCAACAAGTGCTGCAGACAGACCAGAGGAAGGGCTGAGGCTGGAGAACCTCTTTGCTGAATTTACCTGGACCCAGTTAGCCTTTCAGAAGGCTTGATAAGCCCTTTCTGTCCAGGTGACTTCAAAACCCAGCCTTGGATGAGAGAGCTCAGTCAGTGAGGATGGAGCTCAGCTAACCTCAGTCTTAAAGGGCATTGCTTTCCTTTTATGCTTCCACACATCCCTCCCAGCCTCTCCCCACTGGTGGACTTGAAAAGGACTGCAGCCTCTGAGGATTTTAAGGTGGGACTTCAGGACCAGGGTGCCTCTCTATCCAAGTAGCAAGTTTAGGTGCTGATCAGTATCAGGATTGCCCATGGCAACCTGTAGACAGTGCATACCTGGGAAGCAGGACTCGGCAGTCAGGGTAAAGGGAATGCCGAGGGGATTGTCCTTGGGGTCTCTGTTGCTGATGTCAATGTACAGCTGCTCCTCACATTTCCCCTCTGCTCCTGCGTTGCAATCCACTGTGATCTTCTGCTGGCCCCAAGGACCGACAGAGCCGGAGCAAGGGGACACCGTGAACACGCCTACAGTGAGCTGAACCTGCAGAAAGCACCAGGACAGCCATGTCCTGAACACCCCCAGCAAGGAGGATGCCACGCCTTGGCCTCCAGCTGGGCCCAAGCACCCAGTGGCAGGGCAGGGAAGGATGACTCCACGGCCCAAAGGCAGCCCCGGGATGAGATGAACAAGCCAGGAGGAGTTGCACGTCTGTCCCGAGTGGCAGAGAGAAAGGAGTTGGGGTGAAAAGAATGAAGGTGGTAGCTGGGATCCTTCAACCTCCAGGGGTACAGGAGAGCAGAAAGGACTGAGAGAAATGATGGGAAAGAGGGAGGGGATTGGGAAGAAGAAAAAGCAAAGTTGTCAATGTTCTATGGACTGGGAGTTCAGATGGGGACAGTTTGCTCCTGTGGTGTTCACAGATCTGTGCTGGCTAGCAGCCACCAAACACAGGACCTGCTCCCCTCTCTTGACCCCACAACTGCAGGTCAGAGCCAGAGCATGGGACTGTCAGTGGAACTGAGCAGGTAATGGACTCTCCATCCCACAGACCATGTCCTACTCCCAGCCTGGGCACAGCTGCATTCTCCCACATCCCCTGCAGCAGCACACGCTGGGCAGGAGCAGGAGCCACCCACCTGCATTGAGCGTTTTCTTTCCCTGACCGAGGGGGCAGATTCCTCTTGCTGTGAACTGAGAGGAGAAAGCAGAGACATCTGTCATGCTGAGTTCCTCTGCCTTTGTCCGAGGCCAAAGCTGGCCTTCCTCCCCATGGAGAAATGCACTCCTGCTCCTGATGGCCCCGGAGAGCTGCCTGCAGCACCCATTGCTGCAGCTTATGGACAGAGCAGCTCTGTCACCAGCTTTGGCCCACACATGGGGATACTGAGGTGTTGTTTTGCTCCCTCTTCCCAAGCCAGTGACCCAAATGGACAATAACCCAGGTCTGGCTGCCTGTCACACACTAGCTGTGTGGTGGTGCCTCCTCAGACAGAAAGGCTGGGGCAGGTCTTCTCTTACCTTTGCAGTGGAGGTGCTTGGTGGATGAGGAATTTGAAGTTGAGGGCGCCTTTGTTCTCCACAATTAAGACCTGGCTCTTCTTGGTGCCCTTAATCATGGCACCAAAGTTGATGGGCGAGGCAGGCTCGATGCTGTACTTGCTGTACACAGCTCTCGCCGACACCCTCACTGGGATGGTGGCAACGGTCTCGCCTCCTTGACCCGATTTGAGATCAATGACCTGCAACCAGAGGAGGGGCTGGTAAACACAGCAGACAGGCCAGTCTCTACCCCTGTCCCCTGACCCCACCCCAGGTCTCCATCAGCTCACCCTCTCTTTTTAAAGGTCTCTTCCAGAACCAGATTTCCAGCTCTTTTACAAAGCCTCCCAAATGGTTTTGGAAGTTTTTGTTTGTGTGTGTAGGAGAGAGGATGCCCCAGCTAAAGCCTTCTTTGCCAAAGACACCTATCCTGCTTATGCTCCCAAGACACACTGTGCTAACACAGTCGGGCCCAGGCAGCTCACCTGGCAGAGTAGGATGGGTTTGCTCTTGAGAAACACTTCAGTCATGGGGTGGAAGAGGACCTCAACTTTCACAGGTGGCCGTGAGGCTTTCAGCACAGCCCTCTGTGGCTGCACAGTGAAGGGAGATTCCAAGTCACCCCTCTTGGAACTTCCAGTGGTCAGCTTGAAACTGTGGAGAAAGGGAAAGAATGAAGACCTCTGCAGTTGAAAGTACAGGTGCCACCAGCACAGCTAGGACTTTGCATAGGACCGGAAAAAAAAAGAAAAGGGAGCAGCACGGGAACAGGTTCTAGCCATGGACAGAGGGAGAACGCAGGCCTGGGAGCCTGAGGAAAAGCTCAGCACCAGGCAGCTGGACTCACCTGTACTCAATGTCATATACGCCTTTGTTCTTCATACTCAGGACTTGCTTCTTATTATCCAGGACATTAATGGTTCCAAATTCCAAGCTGCCATCTGGACCTGTAGAAAACCCACAGAGCGAGGTAAGAAATGGTGAATATTTGTGAGCTGCTGCAGAGCACACCCAGTCACAAGCTACATAGTTGGAGTTCTTGGATGTCCCTTCTTGGAAGTGTTCTCTAACTACTTGGCTGCCTTTTCTTACTCCAAGGATCTGCAGGGTAGAAGCCAAGGAGCTTGGTTTCCATTTCCTTGCTCCCAAGCACAAATCCAGCTACTTTATGTGCTGTTCTGAGCCAACTGCCTGTTCAGATGACTGTTGTTTCAAAGCACCAAATGCAATCTGCGCACGAAGCTGCACATTTCAAAGTTCAGAAGGGAGAGACTCAAGGCTTTTGGTGCCCTGACAGTGCTTTACTTCACGCAGCTTGCAAGGTATGTGCTTTACGTATCTGTGCCACCCTTGCCTGCCATGCCGTGCCCTCCCAAGGGCTTTGGTTGCCCACCTGCCAAGGTAGTAAAATGCACCCGGACTGTGTTGTCTTGGAGGCATCCACTGACCTTCAGGCATGTCGATGCTCAGATTAACATCGTAGACCTCCACAGAGACTTTGATGGTTTCAGCGTGAACAATGCCCAGGATGTTTTCTGTATCTGAAACCTGAGGCAGCAAGAAACAAACACTGCTTAGACCACTCTTTTGGAAGACAGCCTCTAAGTCCTTGTCTCTGCCAGCTGCTTCCCCCATGGCCTCCCTGGCTTGACAAGTGTTTGTGGACTCCCAAGCTTTCCTAACCTGTTCATCTCACAGGCTGCCCCGGCGGGATTCTGCTGCAGCAAGAAACCTTATCAGCCCAATTACGCACTCCCACAGCAGGGAATGGTGCTGCTAAAGCACCCTTGAGAGGGCCAGGGATGTAAACACAACCACAAGAAATGTGAGGTGTCCCAGAGCAAGTGGCATTGACAATTAATGCCCTCCTCTTCAATCACCTTGCATCCTTACTGAAATGCAGCCTCTAAACCACAGGGAACAAAATCCCAGAAAGGGTCCAGAGGGAATGCTGGTCTGTACAACCAAACAACAGCCTTCAAGCCTGCACAGCAGCAAGGTGGCTGTGGTACAGGCTCCGGATGCAGAGCCTGGGCACCCGGCCAACCCAGCGCAAAGGCAGAAGTTGGGGCCACAGCACCCCTGTGTCTGTCAGGTGCAGCTCTTCCTGACTCTATCCCTAAGAGCACACGGCTGCATGCTCTGTCCTGCTCTGCCAGGAAGGCGCAAGTCCCTCTCACCTCCAGTCGGATCATCTTATTCGTGATACCAATCTTCTCGGCCTTGAAATCCAGCTTCACTTCAAAGTCTGTGCGGGGCCCAACGATGCCGCTGCCTTGTGACACAGAGAAGTCATCTCCAAGGTCGTCCAGCCCACTGAGATGCCATGCCATGGGCAGTGGGCTGTCGTTTCTCAGGACCAGGGTCTGGGTGTCAGGCCTGCAGAGACAGGAAGACACTCAGCATCAGTGCTCAGTGGTCACACCAGCTTGGCCATTGAATGCAGCTCGAAGCCGCTCCATCTGAGCCTCTGGAACCAGAGTCAAACCTCTTCTCTTTGTCACAAGCCTTGGAGTGCCCTCAGCCATGGGATGACTGACCTGTGCAGAAGCAGCTTGTTGAAACGCAGCTCCTGGGGGCTGACCCCCAGCTTCACGTGCACCCCTTGGCAGCAGAGTCGGAAGACCACTGGCTCCGGGTTGTCCCTGATGCAGCAGACGAGACTGTCTTCCAGGAGGCCAGCGGAAGTTGGGTACGCCCAAACACTCAGCTTCTGAACCCGTCCCCACAAACAGAAATACAGAGAGCCCTCCTTGAGCAGGAGGAAGGGCACTTCTATGGTGCCTGCCCTACCTGTTCACTTCCTACCTTCTTCTCTTTGGGCTGCAGCCTCATGCCGGGAGGGTCCAAAAGGAACGTCTCTCCTTTGCTGTCGTTCTCAAAGGAGAAATGCACCTCTGCCTCCATGGGGGAGTCGTTGAGGATGGTTAACTTTTCGCTGTTGCCGGGGCAGTTCTGTGCCTTGTACCTGTCCACAGAAGGGGAAAAGGCTGCAGAGGAGACTATTGCCCTCATCACACACCAAGGAAAACACTGTGTGCCGGTAGCAGGAGGTAGCACTGGAAGACCATGGTCTAACAAGCAGGTGAAGAAAAAGGATCCCTGGAGATCCCCTCCTGACATCTCAGTCTGTACAGGCAGCATACAGGGATGCTCACTTGGGAGCAGGGAGCACATACCACTCTCTTGACTTCCCACAAAGCAGTGGTCCAAAGTGGAACTGCTTTGTGCTCATGACATACTCCTTGAAGATGATGTCCTCCTTCTCCTTGCTCTTCCTCCAGTGAGGAAACACCAGCCTGGGCAGAGAAAAAATGGGGAATGAGGAGCTCTGAGATGCTGCAAGTAGGAAATATAGTCAAAAAGCCATCACCCTTCTCGGTGGCTGAGGTACCAGTTCAGCCTCCCAGCTCCCAGCAGAGGAAGAGATGCTGGTGACTCAGGCAGCACCATCTGCCCCAGCCAGAAGGTCACAAGGGGCAGCCCTGGCTCTGAGGTCAGGGGGAGCAGTGTGGGATGCTCCTGTGGCCCAGCCTTACCGTGGGTTCTGGCTGATGCTGGGGTACAGGGCAGTGGCACTGCAGGGCAACTGGTACAGGCACTTTGACCCCAGGATCTCAAAGTTCATCATCTGGTCAAACTGCCCTGGTACTATGGTGCTGAAGCGGATCTTCAGTTCCACCTCAGCGTGGGCAGGAACAATCCACCGGAACCTTCTCAACCTGGCAGTTAAAAAGGAAGCTTCGACACTGTTAAGTGGTAAACGAGACAAGGAGGAGGGCTGTGCACTCGCCATCCCATGGAGGCACTGGCAGAGGGTCGCTGCGGAGCTGAGGACAATGGACCTTGTTTGGCAAGATGAGTATGAAGCACAGGCATCACCTCCTGCCTTGCAGCTCACCTGGCAGGTCTCTCGAGGGTTGAGTCACTCTGCAGTTGGCTTTTCTTTGACTCAGGTAAACTTCTGGGTGTTTCTGGGGAGTGATCATGGAGACTTTTTGGGCTCTGGGGGGTGTTTTGCTTTTCCTTGTTAGACTTGTGTCTGCTCGTGGCTTTCCCCTCCTTCAAGTGGTCCTGTGCCTCTGCCTCTGGGGCCTTGGCATAAGGGGAGAGAGAAAAGGGAGAGAGAGGTGAGACCTGCCCTGAGACACCCCCCACCTGGAAAGCAGAATGTGGTTTGTTAGCCAACACGAGAGAGAATAAATAATCACTACTGCCCATGGACTTGGTCTTCCTTATTGGCTTTTGTCTTGCCTTGGACACCCCTCCTTACCCAGGACCCTCTCCCCACCGAGGACCCTCTCATCAAGGCAAGTTGATGGGTTTAAGTGATTTTTTTCCTGTTGTCTTACAGAACTGCTCTATGTCTCCAGCAGAGCTGTCTCTTTTCCCTCATCCCTGGTGGAAAGGACGCCTGCAGACATGGAGCCCCATCATGTCTTCACTGCCCCTCCACGGTGACCCTTTTCGATCCAACCTGTCCCCTGCCCTGGCACCTTCACTGAAGGCACAAAAGGAATACCCACCACATCATCTTCTGCAGCAGCACCTTCAGGTTCAACAAGGATGAAGTGTCTGAGGTCTTGTGCTGCTGTGGGGACTCTGTCCTCCTCTGGGTAGGGGACCACGGAGAAAAGACAGCCAGGGGGAATGGGAGGTCCCAGTCCCAGAGAGTGTAGGATCTAAAACCAAAGAGAAAAGCCTGTTTATACTCCTGTCACCTTCATCCTCACACTCCTTCCCTCAAGGCCATGAGCTTTTGGCAGTGGAGTTTTTGATTTATATGGAGTACAAGTGCTTTTTTATGCCCAGTGGGTTAGCAGGCTCCAGAGCAGAGGCAGGACCTACAGTAGGATCAAGAGAGAAACCTCTCCCAAGTGACTCAGCTGAAGAGAACAATACCTGGGAGCTGCCCTGCCCTGGGACCGTTTTTAACGATTTCCAGAGTGAGAAACTCTCTGAACAGATGGGATGCTTGAACACAGAGCACTCCCACTTTCCACACATCTGAGGGAGACTGAGAACCTCCCCATCCACATGGATACTGCGGAGCTATTGTGGAACATCATCAGTGGCCTCGACAAGGCTCTGTGTTGTTATCACCTGGGGGACACACTGTTCCAGGGCCCCAGACCATGGCAAGTTCAGCATCTGAGCCTTGCAGGCTTTTACCTGCTTTGCTGGTGGCAGCTTCTTGCTCTTCAGGATCCTCCTAAACACCTTTTCACGATGCGTGATGTGGAAGTCCAAGCACGGCACTCCGGCATCCTGGCTTCCAACTGAGCCTTCTGCAACTTCCCCATCCCGCTGAAGACTCTTGTGGCTGCCATGTTTTTCTAAAGGCTTCTTCTCTGGCTTCTCTGGAGACCTACTGCTCGACTTCTCGTCTTTGTGTTTAGGGGAAGACTGGGACTTGTCTGGCACTTGGTTTATGATACACTGAACCCTGTCCCAGGATGACAGAATATGTCTGATCCTGTTCTGCGAAGACTCATAGATGTTAAACCTCAGGTCCAAGATCCTCTCATGCTTACTCGGGACCTCTGGGATTTTGGTTTCTTGCTGCTGTTGTTTTGCTACTGTTGTTTTGCTCTTTATCCGGACCTCTGGGCTTTTGGTTTCCTGCTGCTGCTCTTTTGCGGGTAGCTTAAAGTTCACCAAGCAGCCATTCTTCTTCTTCTGCAGCTTATCTTGCTTCTTTGAGTCTCGTGACAACATCTTTTTGCTTTCCTCATGCTCTCGAGCCAGCCACTCCAGCTCCCTTCTGCAAGCCAAAGAGAAAACACCTCTGAGAGTCACCATCAGAAACCTGCACTCACTGTAATCCCAGCTGGCTCTGCCCTTCACTCTTTGACCCTGAGGCCAGGCAGAACTGTTAGACCATCACTGTGGACCTTCCTCAACCCAGAAAGCTTGGGAATATCCCAAGTGAGGAAGGGTGGGAGGAGACCTCCTGGGCTAAACCTAAGCCTTGCCATCATAAGGTATCAACTGTGCAGCTTCTCCCCTGAGGTTCGCCCGGACACCTCCAGCACGCTGCCAAAGGCTGATCCACCATCTCTCTGCAGTGATGACTGAAGCCCTCCCTCTCTTGGTTTCCCAGTTTAGACCTGCCCATAAATTGCTAACACCTACTTATCCCTCCTCCAATGCTTACTTGGCTCCTTCAGCCCCCTTCTCCCTGGGCAGAGCCTGCTCATTAATGAGAATAATCATAGCAATCAGAAAGCAAGGGCTGCAGGAAGTCCGCTCCTGCAAATCAGGCTCTGAATCACCAGGTTTCCTGCTGGAACACAGCTGTGACCAGGGCACACTTGTGCTGTCTGTCCTGGGAACTGATTTGAAGCAGTCCTGGCCATCTCCTCCCAGTGCAACAAACATCAGCCAGGGCTGAGAGAAGTGCTGAAACACATGCTCGCTTTAAGCAGCTTCCCCTCCCAGCTCCACACTCTTCCTGTGTGTCCTCCTGAGCTGGGCTGCCTTGCTGGGCCAGAGCTTCTCCCGGGTTCACCTGCTGCTGCAGCTGAAGGGCAGCCTAAGCTTTTATGGATGGTGCTCCACCCTAAGGAAAGCCCTGGCACATCAGCATTGCAAGAACTTCATCTATAGCAGGACTAGGGTGAAAGCAAGCCAGCACAGCTGTGTCCGACACCAGCCCATACCACAATCCTGCTGGTTTGGTGAAGAAGGAGGATGATGAAGAAGATAAGAATCAACATCATGCACTTCGAGACACTTCCGTGGGCAGTGGCAAGGCAAGCCCAGAGCCCAGCTCCCCGCAGGCCATGTCTAAGCCAGAGGGCTCATGGCTAAAATGGAGAGAAGACGTTCTCATCTCAACAGAGGAAGGTCCTTCCTCTCTTGGGAACTGGGGACCTGGACCTGGCCATCCTTGTGCTGCTTCTGGCCTTTGCTCTTGAACCCCTCTGAGCTCAACCAAGGTCCTTGGAGCAGAGAAACCCTCCAGGGACACTACCCTGAGGAGTAACCCAGGGGAGGCTTCCTTACCTCTCCTTCCGCTCACGCTTGATTTGTTCTATTTTGTAATCAAGCAGAGCTTTCTGCTTCTCAGGGAGGGCTTCGTACTCATCCACATCCACATCCACATCCCAGAGACGTTCTTCCTCTCTTTGGGCAGCTTCTTCCTTCTCCCGTGCTTCAGCACAGACCACAAGAGAAGCCATCAGTGACTGCAAGCAGAGCTTGGGGCTCTGGGTCAGCTGCGAGGATTCACAGCTCTGTCCTGACCCAGCCTCTCATCCTGCCAGGAGACACTGCGGAGCTCGCATCCCTGCTCCAAAATGCAGACAACCCCCCCAAACTGTGGCCTGGCTCAGGTGCACCATGGCTGTGGACAGCTGGCTGAGGGTTAGTCACTGAGCCACGCCAGCTTGCACTTGCACCCAAGCTTTAATGACTGAGATTAAGGTGAGTCTTACAGCCTCAGCTCTGCTGTATTTAAAGAAGCTGTGAGCTGAGTGTTGGCTACACTGAGGCAGAAGGTGGAAGGATCAATAAAAAGATTTCTTACAAGCTCTGCTGCAAACCCAGATACACACAGCTAAGGTTGAAGGCTTGAGAGAGATTTGAGAGGGATGGAGATATTTCACCTTTTTGATGTTTTTTAGCTGCCCTCCTCTCTCTTGCAGCTATCCGCCTGCCTTTCCAAAACTCAGAATCCTGGAAGATGTTCACAGCGTGGATATGAGGGCGATTGCTGACAGCTTTGAGCACACACAGGAGAGAAGATGCCAGGCTGCTCGCAAAGAGGGTCTCCAGGCCATCAAACACTACTCCCTTGTAGCAGTCACTCAGCTGCCAGGAGAGACAAACAGGAACAGTGAGTCAGCCATCACACACATTGGGCTCGCAGCTGGTTAGTAAATGCAGATGTCTCAGGACATCAGCCACTGTCATTCCAAGTGCATTAGCCACAACCAGCTTGGATCTTGCACTACACTCTGCCAGCTTAGGGTATCTGCAGCTTCCTCCAAGGATCCCTGCATGCATCACAGGATCCTCCAGCAGCAGGCATAGACCTCCTCCTCTTCTCTGAGTTGTACCTCACTGCCTGTCTCTCTGGCGCAGGAACGTCTCCGTTTCCCCCACCCCACGTACCTGCAGCCGTTCAGAGATGATTTCCACCAGCAATTCCTCGGGCAGCACACGGCTGCAACACTTCCTCTTTTTCTCCTTTCTCCCCCTCCTGGTGAGGATGGTCAGTCGCTGTGGCGCAGGAGCAGTGGCGCAGGAAACGGCTGCCATCTGCAATGTGGAACAGGGTACGGAAAATAAACCCCTGCAGAAAGCCCTGGACAGTTCCCAGTGCTGGGCTCGGATCTGGACTTCCTCACTAGTAGAGACGAGGGCAACCCTGCAGTGCAGGCTGGCAACTGCAGGGGACAACCCTGGAGGACCCGTCCCTTGGCCAGCAGAGACCCAAGCTTGTAAGCCCCCAGCAGAACCTCCCACAGCTTTGCTCGCCGCCTGCAGCCAAGTCAGCCAGGAATACATTTTGCCCACAAACCATTAAGAACCAATGGTGCTTTTCTGCCAGAACACATTCCCGTCCCAGCTGGCTCTTGGCACTGTAGACCCTGCACCAGGCCCTTGGTGACATGGAGCCTCTACTCTAAGCAGCCCCTTCCCATCTCAAAGGCAACAGGAAGGTCCCAGTGCAGATCATGTTTCACCTTGGAGGTCACTGAAAATCTTGCCAGGGGTTTGTCAGATGCCTTATCCGTGGTTGCTGAAGCGCTCTGGGGTCCGGCACTGAGGGTCTTCTGGTTGGCTTTGTCCCCAGGGCTGGGCTCAGTTTTCTTGGCCTGAGCACCCTTTTTACCTGTAGAGGAGACAGATGTATCAGCAGGACTGTGAGGAGCAAGCAGGCATCTTCCACCCCAATGGGCACAGCCTTGCCCCCTGGAAGGGACATGGCACTTGTCCTGCAGCCTGCTGGGCACTAGCAGCACTGCTTCCCAGAAGCAGCTCCTTCCCTGCTTATCAGCAGGACACAGCACACCAGCCCATACTGGATTTCAAAGCCAGCTCTAGGTCCCTCCTAACAAACATGTACGCAGGTGACACTGCTAGCACAGTAGCTCTCCTACAGATCAAGCCAAAGATTCGTCCTCCAGGACCATTGTTTCCATGCCTTGCACCCGTCCTGCATTTTCACATGGAGACTGCAACATGCAGCCCTGCCCCAGCTGCATCACCCATCTCTCTGCTGGAGCTAAATCCTCCATGTGGGAAAACCCCAGCTGGGATCCAGACCCTTCTTCCTTCCACCAGCTCTGAACCCAACCAGTTTCAAAGCGGAGCAATGCAAAACTTCTCCCCACACTGAGCAGGCCTGGCCTAACCCTGCAGAGCTCAGGGCACCAACTGCCAGCAAAGTTTCATAAAAGTCTCCAGTCTGATCTGGAGAACAGCACAGCGTGCACAAGCTGTGTGACCCGACAGTGGGCATAGGGAAATCTCTGGAGAAAAGAGCTCATCTACAGCACGTCTCTCATTGGAAACTCCTCTAGGAGGTTATTCTTCCCTTCCTCTCACATTTGCAAAGCCACACTCAGTTGTCTTGTGCTTAATGAGCCACTTCAGAGGACTTTTTCCTTGTGAAGGTGGGCAATGGTTCTGCCTGCTGCCCATGAGAAGCAAGCTGGATTCAGCTTTGAGGAAATATAAAAAATTCAGAGAAAGAGACAGGTGTGCTTCACCACCCCTAGAAAAAAGAATATGTGCCAAGAATGGCAGTAAAAGTCCCCTGTCAGAGCCCTTAAAATCGAGCTTTCTGTTTTCAAACTAGCCAGAGATGCACAGCACTCATGTTCCCTAAGAGATCTGAGGGCTGCCAAACCATTTCTCTGAGTAAGCAGAAGTGGACGGTCGTGGTGGTTTCCTAAGCAAGCTCTGGGTGCAGCGTTTCTCCTTACCCAGCATCTGTTCCCTCATGGCTCTTCGCTGACGGGCAGCCTCGACGCACAGCTCCCGGGCCCGGCGCCCCGCCGAGCTGCGCTCGTCCGACATGGCTTTTGTCACCACCTCGTCCAGGGACAAGCAGGCGGCACCGTAATACTTGGACAGGGCGGCCGCTACCCTTGTCTTTCCTGAGAGAAAGAGGAAGACTACTTGGTGACACCTGCACGTGAGGCATTTTCAGGGACAACCTCTGGAAAACTCACAAACAGGTTTCAAGGACGGTAGGAGAGCAAGTGCCCTTCTAGGGGAGACCACGAGGGAGGCAGCTTGAGCATGGTTACGAGCACTGAACTCCAGCCCCAGGTGGATCATCTCCACCTCATATTCAGCTGAGGACTTTGTCTCAGGCACCATGGTCTACCGGGATGCATTCTCCCGCTTCCCCCTCTCCTTGCAACCCAGGGCTGTGGCTCCTGTACCTGTCTGGGGTGTCCCATAGACGATGATGGCAATCCCTCTGGGCATTTGGGCTTTGAGCTCTTCTACAACGAGATCAGTGTTGAGGTAGCGCCTGATGGCCTGATAGATGGGCCTGTCACAGTCGTCCACCATGTTCTTCAACAACCTGATGCTCTCTTGAAGCACTGCTGTGCAGAACAAATAGAAAAGTCAGCCTTCTGCCTACCTTGGATCCTGATCATCCTCCCCATCCCCTCAGATCCCAGGAAAGGAGATGGCTGAAAGCAACATGAGCTTGTGCTTTTGTTGCTGGGAAGGAGCAAATATAAAAGAGCCAGTGATATTAAACCTGGTCCTACTGGCTGAAGAGCTCATCTGATGCTACTCTTTGTGGCTAAGGGACTCAAGGGGATATCCTGAATATTTCCCCAGTCCGTGGCAGGCAGATAGGGGCTGGCTTTGGCTACACTCCAGGTTGGCAGAGGATGCCACCGCCCTTCATCCAGGAATTCCTCCACCAGGTAGGAGATCAGATGGCTGCTAAAAGCATGGGCTGTGCATGGAGAACAAGGTGACAGAGAGCTCAGGGTGTGTGGGCTGGGCTCCCTGCTCTGTCCACAGTCAGAACAGCCAATGCCAAACCCTCACCATTGTCCTGGCCTGATTCTTCCTTGAGCTTGGACATAATCTCTTGACCTGAAGCCTCCATCTTCTTCCATTTTTCATAATATTCCAGCACCTCTGGGGGCAGCTTCTCACCCACAGCACGTGGAGGCATCACCACGGCCGTCCGGTCTTCAAACTCCTCCAGTGTCCGCAGGATCTGTGTGCGTGGGGAAGAGAAACCATCCACAAGATTCCTTTATCAACCTCCATCATACCAACAGACTCAGCTCATCTTCTCCCTCCTTCCTTCCTCTCAACAACACAGGCTATCCAAGCCCCTCCACAGACTGCCAGCAGGGATGGCTCTCCTCAAAGTGCCACCAGGCTTTGCCCTGGGGATTGCCTCCATCTCCCTGGCACAAGCCTGGGAAGGCTGGAGTGCTGCAGAGCTTGGGGAGCATGCACATGGGGAGCAGACCTTCCCTCTCACCTTCTCCTCCTCACGGTACTCCTCATCAAACTCCAGTGAGTAAAATTCAATGGGGAACTTGCAGGGGTTCTTCACCACCACTGTCCTCTCCAGCTCAGGGCTGCATGGCAGCACTGCTCCCAGCTTGATCTCTGTGGGGCTGAACTCCAACCGTGGCTCCAGACCCTGTCCTGAGATGTGCAGCACAAGGAGCTGGCTGTTCCCACGAACGTTGATCTTCAGCTCGGTTTTGTAGAACTTCTGAAAAGAGAAAAGTGCCAAAAACTTGTCCATGACATCCTAGGTGACAGGACCCCAAATACAAGCCTTGCCCAAAGGTCAGGGGTGTTATCAGTCCCTCCAGGGGGAATGGAAACCCAGATATTTACTTATGGTAGAGGCTACAGCATCTGTGTCCTTGACTCTGAGTAACTAGGATGAATCCTGGTGTGCAGCATAACTGGGTATTTGAGTATGAGACGGATGTAAAACGGATTACCAGATGTTCTCCCCCAGTCATGGAGGAGCACACGAGAAAGGCCCTCAGTCCTGGCACTGCTGCATCAGGCAAACACCAGCTCCATGAGAGAGGCAGATGAGCTCTCGCTGGCTAGGAATAAAGGTCGTCTTCTCTGCTCAGTGTTTGGCTCTGGTCAAAGCCAGACACAAGATGGTTGGTTACATCTCTCTAGCAATGAAAAGATCCCTGGGACTGTTCTTGGGCATGGAAGCACTTGTGTCCATCCTGTTACACCCTGTCAGTTTCCAAGTCCCAGTGGCCACATGCAAAGGGCTTTTGGAAATGCTCCATCCTTGAAGTCGACTCCCCAGCTGCATGGCAATGTGCAGGCAGGCTGGGCCAGAGCCCCAGGGACTGCTGGCAGCACACCACTACAGGTGACTGTCCTGCCGTGCCCAGGAAGGTGTCTGGTGGCTGTTTTGTCTGTTGGTGCCAGCAGCAGGATGAGCCAGCATTGACCCTTCCAGGTTGACTCCCTGTGACTGTACCAGCTGCTCTGCACCCAGCATCGCAGGCTGCAAATACAACCAGGCAAGGGGGAGGACAAGGGGAGTCAGGCAGATCTCCCCCATGGGCAGAGAGGGAACCACAGCACAGTGCCCTGATGTTCCCTGGGGGGATTTCAAGGCGCCTCTCAGAAGGGTGTGCTGCAGGGGAAACTGAGGCACAGTGAGTGCAGGGCTTCCAGAAAGCTGCCTGTGGAGGAAGAGCTCATCTGCCACTCCCTGCATCGGGCTCTCCTTACCACCCTGCCCTGACAGAGCTCCTGGGGCGACACCTGCCAATCTCACCTCTTCCAGGGGTGAAAACTGGATCTCCAGGTCACACCACTCTCTACCATAAAGGGTTCCCTCCTGGGTCTTCCACTGAAAGACATGGGAATCATCCTTCACAGCCTGGAGCTCCTTCTGACGCACGGCCGGTGTCAAATGTTTGTCCACCTGAGCACAGAAACCAGTTGTGTGAGGTCTCCTCGGTCTGCGAGGACAGAGCCTCGGTTCCTGGAGTGCTCTGAGATCCTGTCCCAGTGCTGAGAGCACCCACAGCAAACCCGGCATGGCCCCCACAGTCTAGAACTGGAGGGACAACCTGCAGGCAGGGCAAGCAGATGGGGAGCCACTGTCCTGTCCCCAGAGGAGGAGGAGGAATGGATGAGGATGGCAGAGAAGCAAAACATCAGCCAATGGAACAGGTCCAGGCAAAGTAGCCTTGATCTGGACCCTCAAAAGCTTCCTCAAACATGCTGTAGCCCAGGTGCTGAGGCAGCCACAGGCACAGAAAAGGCAGGAGGTGCAAAGAAAACCAGATCGTGACGTTCCGTGTTACGTTTGCCTGTGCTTTACCTTCTTGGCAGGTTTGTTGACAGTGAGGAACCATTCACAGGGCACGCTGAACTGGTTGTAAAGCCGGATTGTTTCACTCCAGCACTGCCCAACCTGGACATCGGGGAACTGGATTCTGTTCCTGGAGAGGCTGAGCAGCAGCTGAATGACAGTGGCACAGAGGCGGATGTGCAGTGTGGGGCCTTTCTTTACCTGGAGAAGGACACAGAGTTCAGCTGAGAGTCCAGGTGACACGTGCTGCTGTGCCCAGCCTGCTGCCTGCCCCAAAAGCTGCGGTACCTTGATGGGCAGGAGCACATCCACCTTTCCCACGGGCAGGTTGGCACTTGCAAAGCTCACTTGAAACGGTTTGGTGGCGCCGTAGATCAGGAACTCCACGGGCTCCAGGTATATGCTGAAACCTTGAACAGATGAAAACAAAGCAGCTGAGATACACAAGCAATATGAAATGTGTCATAAGCATGTTAAGGCCATACGAGAGCCCTGCTGGGAGCCCTGGGAAAAACCCCACGCTGTGCTGTTCCCGGGACAGAAACTTAGAGGAGACACCTGAGCAGCCCTCAGACACAGCGAGCCACTCTGTGATGGAAGTGCAGATTTGCCTCCGGGCCTGTTTTGGAAGCCTACTTCAACCCACCAGAGAATCAAACAGGCTGAACACAAGAGCTGTGAGAGTGTGAACTCCAGACAAAGCACTTTCCAACCACAACAGATCCCATCTGTTTGCAACACCTCCAGAGCGCCCAAAGAAACTTCATGCCAATGGGAACCAAAGGCAGAAGATGCGGGGAGATGACAAGGGCTGATGGGCTGATTAAGCCCATCAGGCCCCTGCAGGGAAGTATCAGGGCAGTCACAGGTAGGCCAGGTCCCTGGGCACAGCTGGCCAGGAGAATTCTGACCCTGAAGCTCCCAGCAGGGGCACTGGGAGAAAGAAGTTCAAAAAACCTCCCCATGTGCAGTGGCTTAAGCTAATCTGTCTGAGACAGCTCCTTGCAGCCCACGGGAAGCCTCTCCAGCACTGGTTACCTGTGTCACGCAGGGCACGTTCATTGGCCTGGACAGCCACTGGGAACCTCCAGGTGTTGGTGATCTTCACAGTGCAGCTTTTACTGTAACCCTGAACGACAGTGCCCATGTCCAGGATGTACTCGGGCAGCTCAACTCTGGAAGGAGGAGGAAGGACAGTCCTTAAACAACAGCGGAGCCACATGTTCAAGTGGATGGAAGATTCAAATAAGTGGATATTTCTGTATTCACCGCTGTAAAAACTCAAGCCTACAAAACCCAAGACCTGACCACCTGGCAATGACTTTGGGAAGTTATGGGGAGTGCAGGTCCCAGGTTTCATCAGCTTCCAATGGGACCCGAAAATAAAATTAGTTTTAAATGGACTCTGGTCACAGCTCCTCTGCTACAAAAAGCCCGTGTAGGCAAATTCACTGGACCTCCAGTGGTCTCAGTGAAAACGCTATTCCTGGTGCACAGCCCAAGCCTGAAATTGCTTCCTAGCCTTGGAATAAGATTTGCACAGGAAAACTTCATTGCTCTGCAACCAGGTCACATGAAGGATCTGTTTTGCAAAGCATCTTCTTCCTGAACTGGAGCTTCCCATGCCCAGGCAGCATCATGAAGGAGCAAAGGGAAGGACCAAGTTACCCAGATAAGCCCTGCCACCCCACCAGCACCAAAGCCACCTTTTGCTTAGGGTGCTCTGTTAGTCAGAACCAAGAGAGCAGCTTGGAATTCTCTTTCAGAGCTGGTCAGCAGGGACAGTGTCTGTGCTGTCTGGAAGGGCTTGATGGTCTGGGTCCCCTCAGCTCCAAGAATGGGACCTTGCACCTGTGGGGAGCTGAGCAGCTCCAAAGCTCAGCGTGGTGCTAGGGAAGGGAGGACAGTCAGCTGCTCACGAGCTATTGCTGCCACAGCTACTGGGATCAGACCCAATCTGAAGTGCCCACTGTTCCCAGCTCTGCACGCACAAAGAGCTCTCAGGAGCAGAGGACACTGCTGAGTGTTGCCCTCAGGGCACCTGCAGAGAGAGAACAGGAGTCCCTACTCACTGGACAAGCTTCTGAGGAATACGCTTGTCAAAGACAGTGTCCTCTGGGGGGCGGGAGATGAGGACTGGCTGCAGCTCCAGAGCATCCTCCTTTATCAGCATCTGCTCCATCTCCATCCTCAGCCAAGTGTTTGCCTGAGGGAAGGGAAGGCAGTGGCTGGTTAGCAAAGGCCCTTCCCAGGGCCCAGGTTTGTATCTGAAAGAGGATCCCACCCTGCTCTTGTTGAGAGGGGGAATGGGGTCCTCCTGTCTGGCTGCTCAGTGTCCATGACACATTCTGCTCTCCTAGCCAGGACCTTCTCTTCAGGGAAATAACTACAGCATCTGTGCCTTCCCACCCACTGCTAGAAAAGCTGATCTGGCCAGACAGACAAGCTAGCAACCTTCCAGAGCTTCAGGTATTTGCCTATCCCCAGCCAGTGCCAAAGCAGCTTGGACAAAAGCTGCCTAGAAAAGGGAACCCCAATCAAGCTGGTGCCTCTTGGAGTTGAGCACTGCCAGCACAGTCCCAGGGCAGTCAGGTTGCTGCTACTAAGGTCTGTAAACCTGATAGGGCTTGATTTGGGAGCAACAAACTCCCCAGTAGCTAGGAAGCTTGATACATCTCTAGGAGAGACCATGACCAGAGGTGGGGCAACGCTGAGCTGATGCATGTTTGTGGTCAGGTGTGGGCAGGGAGGTCCAAGTGCCAGCAGGGCACTGAGAAGCTGTTGTGGGGTGCCAAGGGCTCAAGTGACATGGGGAGGGTGGCATGTGCCAAATGGGACTGCAGCTGTTCTTACCACAATGCCAGGGCCCTTCGCGTGTCGCTTCCTGATTCGAGCCTTCCTCCAAACACTTGCTTTCTTGCCCTGCTTGCCTTTTTTCAGCTTTTCTTTTGCCTGTTTCAATAGTCTCTCGTATTTTTCACTTCCTGAAGGAAGAAAACATTCACAAATAGAAGTGTGGGTGCAGTGCCAAAGCCATTTAAGCTGAGAAGTCCCACTCCCCCAAAGGCTGGTCTCTCCCAGAAACAACCCATCAATGGAAAGCCATCTCTGGAAAGTGGATGCTGCTGCTCGTCTCTGAATCCTCATGTTCACTCCCACCCATCTTCCTCCCCACAGAGGAGTATCTCATCCCCTGCAGTGTCATGCAAATCCAACCCTGCCAAAAGCCCTGCCAGTCTCTCTTATAGCTTTCCCAAGCTTTTCTGTCTAGCCATCTTTCCAGGCCTCTGACGGAAGTGCTGGCAAGAGCTGCAGGATGGTTACTTGGACAAAGCCTACATGTGCTTGTCTGCTCAAGACTCAGGAAGCAACCAGAGGGGTGAGTGTTGGTCTGGCAGCCCTGCAACCTCCAGGCTTGGTGGAGATGGGTGTGAGCTGCCCTCTGGGCATTACGGTCGGGAAAAACCCCAGTGGGGACTTTGCTGGGGAGCAGACGGGCGGTGCTCACCTTTGATGCTCCAGGGCAGGTCCAGACAGATCCCGGCAAAGACCGCCTCTCCTTTCAGGGAGATTTCTGCCGGTTTCAGGTGACCCACTTGAACCTGGAATGTCCTGCAGAAGACTCCTGGCATTCCTGGCAGGTAATAGAGCTTCAGCACCTGCTCCTTGCCAGGTTCAATGGAAGCCTGCAAGGGACAGGAGAAGAGGGAGGCAATGCATCAAAGAAGGTGTGATGGAGGAAGGCTCAGGCCACAGACAGGCTAAGAAGACAGGTTCTCTCTGGAAGAAAACATCAGACCACATCACCTTCTAACTTCCTTGTGCCCAAAAGCTCGAGCCTCCAAGGCGAGGGTGCAGAGGGTGCAGTGTGTCCTTCCCAGGGCTCCTAAGGCTGCACCCCCAGCAGAGCCTGCCCTGTGCTCAGCGTGAGCACGGCTCTTCTGCTAACGGGGTTTGCCCTATGCCAGCGAGAGCCAGGCTGAACAGATAAAAGCTCTTTTGCCACCACTGTGGAAGAGAAGCGAAGTGCCCACACTCTCAGCAGGGCCAGCAGCTCCTGTCACCCCTTGTAGGAGACAGGCAGGAAGAAATGGGAAAGGCAATTAGCTTCCTCTTCCCGTTGCAAAGAGGGACAAAAACAGGAACACTGCTTCACCTCAAAGACGTCCAGGCAGCACTGAGAAGCTGGGACAGTGGTGGGATGCTCCAAATTCCTCTCTTGGCTCTTCCAGCCTCGCTCCTCCCTGGCCCCCTCACTGCCCCACAAAGCTGCTCCAGAGCAGCACAGCTGGGGGAGGGAAGGACCAGCACAGAGGCTGAGACAAGTTCTGGCAGAGGAGCTTCAAGTCCAAGCAAGGAATTTGTAAGTGCTGCTTAGTGCTGGCACAGGGGAGGCACAGGTAAGGAATAAGTCCTGTCTTATCCCACAGCTGGGGTAAGGTGACCCTCAGAAGAGCCTCAGTGCCAGCACAGCCACAGAGCTCAGCAGTCGGGGGCCAAGGAGTGACCAACGTGCTCATGCCTCCTGCTGGTGGCTGTCCTGGGATGGCAGAGCCACTTGCCAGCCAAGGCCACAGGGAGTTTGTCAGGATGGCACTTGCTTGACCTTCTCTGCCCCCAGCAGCAATTGCTTACAGCCCTGTCTCTCATGGCTGGGTTTGGTTTTGTTTTCCCCTCTTTTTTCTCTTTAACCCTCTCCTTGGCCACCTGACACAGGGCTGGGGTCAGTCAACTGTGCCACTCACTGTGCTGGGCAGGACCACGAGCACACCAGGCAGAGGCTTGTCTGTAGTGCCAGTGCTTGGGCTCTGTACCATGTAGGTGAATCCCATCTTCCCGTTGTTCCGCAGGGTGACCTCTGCTTTGGTGACTTCATTAAAGAGCTGGAGAGAGGACAGAGGAATGGGAAGTTACAGACACAGGCCTGCTGCTGGGAATCTCCTTCCTCTTTCATGGGGTTGAAAGCAGACACACTGCAGGAGTAGAAACCGGGGACGAGCTACGGGCACTTGGGAACATGGGGAACCCACAGGCACAGGGACCTGCACAGGAACAGAGTTCTGCTAGCATGCAGAGGGGTAGGAACAACCGTGGGAGAGCCAGTAATAAATGAAGCAGGGGACACAGGCCCTCTGCACTCTGAGGGGTCACCAACAGCCAGGAGGCGGCATCAAGGCATTCCAGAAGAAAAGACACCTGTATGCAAGTACTGGCAAGCAACACACCAGCAAAAAGGGAGATAGATAGGGCACCAAGACAGGGACAGCAGCTGGAAAGACCTGTGGACTTTTAACTGAGAAGTAGTAAAGTAGGGATTATTCTGGGACATCCTCTCCAACTGCAGTGACTGGAAGCCCAACCGGGTTATTCTGTGGATTAAGCAAGAGCATTAAGCAAGAACATTAAACAAGAGCATCTTGTTGGAGCTCAGGCTTTACGAGTGGATCAGCAGAGGGATGTCTCAGGGACATGTCCCTCTGGACATCCTCACTGGGATCCTGCTTGTTCCAGGAGGCAGCATTAGGTACCCTGAAGATAAGGAATTCCCAGCATTTTGGAGGGGGGTGGAGATGGCCATTACAAAGCAGTCTGGATGCCAGACATATCCCTCCAAGGTTGTACTTCCAAGCTCCAGAGCCAACAAAGGAGCTGGGAAGGGGAGGGAGCCCTGGGCCAGGCTGGGCAGCAACCTGCTGGTGATGGTCCCAAGGCAGCAGCTCTGCCAGGAGAAGGGGTGGTACCTGCAGCCCACAGTCGATCTCCTTGACACTCAGGTGGTAGGTGAGGACCGAAGTCTCCCCCCTCAGCTCCACCTCGTAAGTCGGGCCTCCCTCCACCCGGCACAGCGCCGTGACATGGGCGATGATGTTGGTGTGGCCAAAGAAGGTGACGGGCACCTGCTGGCTCTTACCCGGCTGCAGCACACCGGACACCGGCTGGACATCGAAAACCTGCAGGAGGGGAGGAGGGATTGAGTCGTTGAGCATGGAAATGGGTGCAGAAGAGCAGCCGTGGCCTGGAGCAAAGTACAACCGTAGCTGGAGGGGCCTATTCCTCAAACACCAGCCAGAAGCATCCTAATCTCATCCTGCCTCCATGCCACTGACCAGTGGAGGGAGTATGGCCAAAGTCTTCTGCCATACTCACTGCTCAATGCATTAATTAATACCAGACATTAAAGTAAACTGGGATGTCTCCTGGCAGCAAAACATTCTCTCTGCTGCAGAACTTGCCTTTAAAACCAGTTTTTACTGCCTTCAGAAAAGCAAGAGACTCAGAGGTGAGAGCTCTTGGAGCTGAGGGGAGGACTCCAGTCCAGCTCATCTGACTCCTGAGGCTTTTCCCTCTCTCTGACTTACATGCTGCTCTCTCCCGGTGTTACACCAAATGCTCCTGAAAAATATCCTATTCAGCACCTGATGAGGTACCAGGGGAGCAATGCCCTCCCTGGGTGCTGCTGAGGGAGTTCTGTAGCTCTGGGGGCAACAGACCTGCTTGCCACGCTGAAAACGTGCAAGTGAGAGAGATTCCCACTCACCTCCTCCGCTCTGAAGCCAGGGGCCTTTGCCTCCTCTGACTGCTCAGACCTCTTAGTCTCCACTGAGCTCCGAGGCTCTGCAGCAGTGTATGGTGGCACCTGGAAGACAAACCACTTTCCATTCCAGGACACAGCCACCTTGCCAAGTCTCACTCTATAAAAGGCAGCTCTGGGGCCGTCACTGCAATGCCAGCTCGTGGGTGAAGGCAGAGACCTGAAAATGGGTGGTCTAGCTGGGTTGGGAAGGGGGTACATGGAGATCAGGATTTGGCATGGCTTGCTACAGGAAGGAAACTGGAAGCCTTCTCATCATGATGCAGAAAAGCCTCATTTTACATTGTAAAGAAAACAAGCCAAAAAATCCCAAACTCAGCATAGGTCTGTAGGATCTGAGTGGGCTTCTCCAAAGAAAAGTATCCTATTTCTCCCTCTCCAGAGGCCCCATGTCCAGCCACTGGCCCTGCTGCCCAGCCCACTTTCAGGGCACAGAACAGCAGGGCAGCAAAAGGGGAGGTCGGCACGAGCATGGTTTTTTGGTGGCAAGCTGGGGGAGGCAACACAGGTGGCAGGTGCACAAGAAAACCCACCTTTGCTTCTGAGGAGTCCTCTGAATGTGATGACTCTTCAGAAGAATCCTGCTCTGTTTCCAGGGAGTCCTCTGAATCTGATGACTTTTGGGAAGAGTCCTGCTTTGTTTCCAGGGAGTTCTCTGGATCTGGTGACTGTTCAGGAGAATTGTCCTCTGTTTCCAGGGAGTCCTCTGAATCTGATGACTCTTTGGAAGAATCCTGCTCTGTTTCCAGGGAGTCCTCTGAATCTGATGACTCTTCGAAAGAATCCTGTTCTGTTTCCACGCAGTTCTCTAAATGTGATGTCTGTTGGGAAGAATCCTGTTCTGTTTCCAGGCAGTTTGCTGAAGGTGATGATTGATGGGAAGAGTCCTGCGCTGCTTCTGGGGCTTTGGCTGGCTCCTGCACACTTCCAGGCCTGAAGTACCTCCTTGAATAACGCCCAAACTCAACACAGCCAAACGTGACCATTTGTGGTTGGGGTTTGAATGTAGGTGGGGAAGGCATGAACCTGGAAAATAACGTGACTATGATCACAGACCTGCAGTGGGAGGGAGGGACACCTGCATGAGCAATTCCTCGTCAGGATGCAGCCCCCGTGTGGGTGCAGGTGCAGTGAGCTCAGAAAGGGGGTGTCTCAGAAAAGGAGAAGGAAGGGGAAGGTAACAAGATGTGCAGCATCAGCTCAGGTGCTAACTAGCTCTTTCTGTGATGTGATTTGGGACTTTCTGGGCATCCTCCAGCACTTCCAGGCCAAGGTTGGGAATGCAGAGAAGGCAGCAAGGAGAAGAGAGCTGTTTCTCTGCTTGCAGAGAGGACCCATCCCAAAGTAGAGGGGCCAAAGGGCTGTGAAAGTGCCTCCACCAGCACTGTGGAGGTGGGACTAGGAGCCCTTCACCAAGGTGGTCACTGCCTCAGGCCACAGAGGTCTGAGAAAGCAGATTTCCCCATCAGCTTTCCTTCCCAGAGGAAACCAGGAGGGGGACTACAGTAACACCAAACTCGTGGAAAATGCCTATTCCCTGAGCATCCAGCCTGACCACGGCTGGTCAGTGTTATTTCCACAAGGGAAAGTCAAAAGCAGTTTGTCAGATCCCAGGCAAACAGCTTTGGTCTTTGCAAAGTACAAACAAGACCCCAGGAAAAAGAGCTTCCAGGAGAAGGCAAAGGTGCACATACCCTGTTGGGTACTCCTTGCTGTCCATCTGGAATGACCAGTGGTAGTGGGCAGGAATTGGGCTGCAGTTGGTCATCTCCAGGTAACGCACTTGTTCTGTGCCAGTCACAATGCAACCAAAGTCCAGTGCTTTGGTCGGGATACGGAGATTCGGGAAGTAGACCTCTCCCCGAACGGCGATCTCTTCCTCATGAGGATGTTCCACAAGCTGGATCTTCATAGTCTTCTCTGCTACCCAGCTGATCAGATCCTTTTCATAAGCTGGGTTAAAGCTGATGGAGAGATGAAGTTCCTGCCCTGCCTCCATCTTCACAGGCTGCAAGGAGACAAGGAGTGTCAGCCACCCACACGATGAAGTCCCAAGGTCTGACAGCACGAAACCGTAAACGCTCAAAGTGTGACCCCAGCATGGCCTTCCCAGTCCACCCTTCAGTTCTTTACAAGGGAGGGTCTGACTGCAAGCACCACACTCCACTGGGGGATTCTCAGGCTCCTGTTTCTGTGCTCAGCAGCAACACAAGAGGATGGGGTGCTCTCCAGGAGACACCTCTGCTGCATGGCTTGCCCACACCTGGCTGCCTGCTCCCTTCCCCTCATATCTTAGAGCCAGGAGGGATCTTTCCAATTCAGATGAGTTTTTGCTTCCTTCAGCAGCTCTGCTGACTCAGTTCACAGTTCAGGCCAGTCCACTGCTGACTCTACGGAATAAACTTCTCAACTTGAGGACCTCCCAACAGAAGGGCACCACCACAGCCCTCCCTCTTCAAAGCCCACTGGCAGGAGGGTCCTTGGCTGCTCACCTGGGCCTCTGCAGGGAGGGGCTGCTGGTCTGCATCACAGATTAGGAACGGCTGCTCCAAGTCCAGCAAAAGGTGGAATGGCAGGCAGCAGATGTTTTTTAAAGACAGAGGCTTGTACTGAAGAGTCAGGACATCATCAGGGTGCTACAGAAACAGGAGATAAGGAAAAACAACCTCACGGAGCTACAGACCTCCTTCCCCTTCCAATACATTTCACATTTTTCAACCTCAGAAGTGCATACATCTCTATTTACTCTTTTTCTTTGATTCTAAACCTTCCAGGACATTTTTCTCTAGAGCTGATTCTTTTCATGTTTGGAAATTACAGTCTCCCCTGGCAGACAAGGAAACACTCCCATGTACAGAGGAAGGAATAGGCCCCTGAGAGGAGGCAGTTGCTTGAACCAGATCAAAGGCAGAAAGTGACCCCAGAACGTTTGTCTCCTCTCTTGGGCAGAACAGCACAAGATGATCTTCCCTCATATACAGTCATTTCTCACAGCCTTATTGGCTCTAGCAGCCTCCTAGAAGCAGTGATGCCAGCCAGAAGAGAAAAACAAGCAGGATTTGGCCCAGGGTGGAGATTCTGCAGCAGCCCAAGGTCAACTTCAAACATTCCATGAACATGTGGCCAGCCAGAAACCTCAACAGTCCCTCTGCAATGTGTGTCCTGCTGCCTCTGCTACAGGCACATGGTGTCTATAACCTCCAAGCTATGATCAGCCTAAGCTCCTTCTTCTTGTTTGTGCATTGTGGTAGGCTTCTTGCATGGGGCAGAGAAACCAGACAGAGTTTGGGAAACTAGTTCTGGATGTATTGATATCAAACGGCTGCAGTGCCAGATCACTCCATAAATCAGTGTGGCATCAAGCAGAGCACAGGCAGGCATCAGGGAGAGCTGAAAAGCTTCTCGTTACATTCAAACTGCCTGTTCCCAGAATTCAGTGCTTCCATGGAAGCCTGGGAACCTGAGGAGAGACCCAAAACCACAGAAACTAAATAATGCAACATCCTTTCCAGACACCTTGTGGGAATGATAATGCAGAAGTTGGGATCCAGAGACTAAAGGGCACCTGCTTTGCCTCGGTGTCATCATCACTGCAGCTGCAGGACGCATGTGAGTCCTTAGAAGCAGGTGAGGCTTGGGGAAATGCACAGAGCTGTACCATAGAGCTATACCATAGAGCATCCATACCAACAGCAGAGAAGGCAAAGACACACAGGAGATGACAGGTTTTTCCTCATCAGCCTGATGAGGAATTCACATGAATCTCTGGTTTTCCCAGCTTCCCTAAAGCACTGGTGTTCAGACATCACCGTGCGTTGGAGGATCCTCAAAAACCTCCCTTGACAGTGAGCACAGAAACTGGCATTTCTCTCCAGGTGGCCACGGTCCCCCTCAGCAGTGCAGTTGTAGCTGCAATTCTACTTTGAGGAAGTTAAAAACCAGTCTCATCTCTAAAAACATCCTCACTTACTTTACAAAGTGCCTTAGGAAGTGTAAAGAGGGCTGTTAACACAAGCACACACCCCCCATGAGCTCTCTCGCTGAGCCATGCAGTAAATGCCAGGATGCAATCCACTTACCTTCTCCACACAGAAAGTGATTGCTCTGGATGATATTTGTACCATGGGAGAAATGAACTTGCAGGTGACCTTTGTCTTGATTATCTCTTTCTTTGTTATCTCTGGCCCCACGGCTGCCTCACATACCAGCTTCTCCTCCACCTCCTGCATACAACAGTCACTTGTCACCAGTGCTGCTGGCAGGGTGTCCAGCAAACACCCTGCGTTGGCTCCTCACCCCCCACGGGCCACAAAGTTACAGACACTGCCCCCTTTTCTTCCTGTGCTGCAGCCTATTTCTTCTGCGCTCCAATGGCCCTAACACTGCACCCCAACAGCCACAAAAGGCACTTGTGAGACACTCCCTCGCTTCACAGGGCTTCTGTTTTACCCCCTGCTTACCCTAGAGAAACCACTTGGCACTTGTTTAATTCACTTTCTGCTTGGGCTCCTGCTTTAAGTGTAACCTATTTTCTCTGCCCTTCCTTTGTGCCTCAGCAGGTGACACTCCTGTTTGCCCCGAAGGAGTTATACTTCCTTCAGCCCGTATTTGGGGATCAGCATTGGGGTTTGGTAGCTATGGAATCACAAAAAAGCCTTAGCAACTGATGGTGGCCAGCAAGGAAAGCCACCAGTGCTGCCATGGAAACCTGTAGCCGTAAACACTGTCTTGAAGGTCCTTGCTCATTTTCCCAGGCAAATGTCAAGGGGCTGCAGGAGAAGCCCCACTGGAGGGGACCTGATGGGGAAGGCTTGGCTCTTGGCAGGGACCTCACCTGGACAGTGCTGGAGAAGCCTTCCAGCACCAGCTCCATAGTCTCGCCTGGTTGCAGATACATCCCCCGTGGCTGCAGCTTAAATACGGGGGGAGTGGGTCTCTGGGAAGCATTTCTGCCCTTGGTGACACTGAAGGCAGGGAGAGGATGACGCTGTCGAAAGGTGCTGAAACCTTCTGTGCCCCAGTACAGCCGCTGGAACTGCTGCCCCTTGTTTGTCACGTTGAACCGGAAAATGCAGGGAACGAGGCTGGAGGAGAAGTAGAGATGAAAAAGGTCATGGGAGTGCTATTTCCCTGCAGTCAAGTGCTCTCAGCGAGCAATCTGAGATGTTAATAGCTTGGAGACCATCCTCATTTCCCCTTTTAACGTGGACCAGAAATAATGTCTGATGCCTTTCTGATGTCGTTACTGCAAAGAGAAATCGGTTTATACTGATAATGTAGTATTTCCACATCTTCCCTCACCACAAGGGACTTCATCACCGTGGGCTTTTCCCCTCACCATTCTGGGCTTCCCTTAATGGATCCAGACTGAAACCACCACTTTGAGAACACTTCACCTCCGAGAAGGCCACAAGAAGAGGATCAATGGGATGCCAATGGAATCCATGCAGAGGTGATATTTTCTCTACTTAATCTGTCTCTTTGTCATTCTCTTTGTCTCCTCCTTTCTCTCTTTTTCCCATTTCTTTCTGTCTCTCTCTACCTCACATTTACTGTTAAATAAAAATCCATACTACTGACTTTGCCATATGGTTTCCTTTGCCCCTTAATTAGGGCAGAGGCATCTCTCTAATAATTAAAGGAACCTGAGCATAACAACGTTTCTAGAGGAAACTCTGGCTTCAGGGAAACAGAGCCAGGGCCTGGAGCACTGAAGAAGATTTAGCCTGAAAGCCTACAGCATAACTGCTCCTTGCTGAGCCAAGAGGAGAGGCAGGAATTAAGAGATCTCTTACTTGAACTGGGGTTCCAAATTCAGCTCTGGAGCAAACGGTTTGTCAATGGTAATTGTGGTGCCAATGCCCACAGCCTGGATGGGGATGATGCTGGTAAGGCTGTTCTCAACAAACAGCTTCATGCTTTCCTCAAATCTCCCTGTGTCATCCAGGTTTGCCGTGACAACCACAGAAACCTCAGCCTTGGCAGGGACCACTCCTTCCCTGGGTTCAATACTCCAGCATTTGCCACCCTGTAAGACAAGCCAAACATGCATTTAGGGTGGAAACCATGGACCCTGGTGACTTGCGGGGTGTGAGAAAAGGAACAACTACAGAGAAGAGGATAAAAATCATAAAGTCTTCATTTCCCTAAATCTAAGCTATTGTGTCTGGGCAAGAGCAGAGATTATACAACCTGTATTTTACCCACCTTTAACCCATTTTAACAGACTTTTAAGTTTTGCCCAACCCAAGGAATGCTCCTCCTCAGGAGAAGGTTATTCCCCCTCCAATCTTTTCTTGGAGTGTATGCCAAGGGAAGCTACTTTCTCTCTTCTGGCTTCCCCACAACAGAGCTGGGTTCTCACAAAGGCTCAAGGCTGCAGAAAGCCACGACTGCTCAAACCCCACCACAGCAGCCACACAGCTGGAGGATACTGCTGAGAGCCTGAAGACTAACTCTGCAAAACTACTTGAGCAAAAGCCCAGCACCAAAGTCCTCGCCGCTGAAGGACCAAAGCCCTGGCTTCCCACTGAGCATCAGCTGCAAAGAGGTGTCCCAGAGCCCTCTGCTTTGGAAAAGTCAGCTCTAAATGGTTATAGCAGGGCAGGAAAACAGGAAACAGAAAGAAAACTGCCCTGTGGGCATGGCCCAGCCTTCCCAAGCACTCTTGTCCTCTGCTTTCTCATGGACTTCCCTCTATGGATGGGGTAAGAAAGCTGCAAGCTGCCCTGGGGAGGAAGGCAAGGCCTTCCACTGGGACAGCTGTACAGTCACAGCTCGGCAGGTCCTGGCCTGGTATGAGCATGCAAAAACTATCATTTCCACGCCAGCACCACGCATCCAAGGTGGCTTGCTCTCTGCAGGGGTGGAGAGCAGAATTTCATTGTGGAGTTGAAGAAAGCTGCCCTGGAAATCCCTCACTTGGAGGTTACATTTACTCCTCAGATACCTGGGAAAGCAGCAAGTGCAAAACTCACTCTCCTTCTCCTTGGCCCAGGAGGCTGAGCCCGGACTCTCCCTCACTGCCTGATGCTTTATCCATAGACACAACCATGCCCTCCATGTCGGGGTTGCTTTCAACCAGCTCCAGCAGTCCAGTCCACTCAGCATGGAGGAGAACAAACCTCCTCCCAAGCCTGTTTCCAAGCCCCTCACAGCCACCCCTGCAGCGGGGAACACATCCCAGCCAGCCCAGCCCTGCTGGCTGCACCCGCTCTGCTGCACCAGCTCAGCTCCTCCTGCCAGGAGAGCAGCCCCATCTCCTCCTGCCCTGTGCAGCCTCCACGAATTCAAGAGCCTTTCTCTGCAGCTGCTCTCCAGATACTCTGGAACGCTATGGAGGCCACAGGCTCCAGGGGTGCACAACCCCCACAGGTGGATTTGTGTGCAACAGCCTGGTTGCTCTGACCCCCAGGAGGGGGAAACTCCTCTCCCCACCCAGAGCTTGAGGACAGACCTCACACCCTGGTCTCTACCATTAACAGCAGTTTGGCACAAGGCAAATGTAGATGGTATGAGGAAACCATGGGGAAATCCTTGCCCTCTCAGGAGCAAAGGGCCACAGGCTCCCCTTCATCTCAGAGCTCCAAAAACATGACCTGCACCACTAAATACCTTCCACAAAATAAACAGAGAACTTGTAACCACAGTCCAGACTTGCTTCTGCTCCTACAACTCTGCAAATTATTTCACTGAAGGTTGTCCCAGCTAAAACCACCTGCAGAGCCAGGCTCCTCTTGCCTCAGATGGAATCTCTTGCCTTCTCTCTCCCACAGGGCAATATAGAAACCTTACATATAAAATCCAAGTCCTGGGCTGCTGCTGACCAGGGAGGTTCCCTGGAAAACAGCCCCACAGACACTTACGATCTCTGCTCTGAAGGCTGCAGGGATGAGACCCAGATTGCACAGCTGGAGAGTTTGGGAAGTGTCCTGTATCACTTGGATCTTGCCGAAGTTTATATTATTCACACTTGCGTAGACAAGCGGCGTCTTTCCGGTGCACATTAAATGCATTTGCTGTTCCAGGGAGTAGGTAAGAGAGATTTCAAAAAAGCAAACCAACACAACAGGGAAAGTTAAGAAAGCTTAAACAGCTCAGTCGCACTCAAGTCACTTCTTGATGCTCCTGCTAAAACGCTGACCTTTTAGGCAAACATTTGACATCTTCCCCTCCAAATTAAAAAAGAATAAAGTCTGGGAAACTTTCAAACTGTAAACTGTTGGCCCAAAGGTAAAAGCTTTGCAAGAAATCTGTAGTTAAAAACAGTTTGACAGTTAAACAGCTGGTTACTCTGGTGGAGAGAAACCCTGCTCTTTAAGGGAAGCAGCCTGATAGTTATGAGTAAGTGTTTTGTTAAAAGTCAGGCTCCCCTGCACAGCCTGCACTGCCCAGCCTTCCTGTTGACTGGTTTATATGCACAACAACAATGGCCTGGTTTGAGATGTTTGGTGCCTTCCAGGGGATTTGGCATCATCACAATTTCCATTTCCTTGAATATAAGTTTAATTCCCTGCAACCACTTTTCAAACATCAACCTTCCTTTCTGACACAGAAAGCTGAAGGTTCCCAGAAATCCTCCTTTTGTGTTCAGAGAGATGACATTTTAAAAGAGGTGTTTCCACAGTTACCAGCATTTTAAATGGAAGATTAATTAAATAAAATGATCCTCAATTTCAGCTTAGATGAATGCTGAGATTACTCCCTAGGAGGACTCCGCTCTTCCTCTTTTCCAGCATAAACTGCTTATGCCACCAATGCATTCTGTCCTTGTCCACACCAGCCATATATGACAAGTCCCTGCTTTCCCTGGAAGAATCCCTGTGCACTTCACCCCCCAAGACGAGCTGCACAAAGGCACACGTCTCCCCTTGCACTCACCAGTGGGGATCGCTCCTTCCCGAACATGGCGATATCCACCTGGATGGAATGAGCACCCACTGCCTGGGCTTCAACTGTGATGGGGATCTCCACCACGTCGTGACCCTGGATAATCCCACACGGCTTGGGGCTGGAGTACCACAGAGCAGCAGCCTCTTGATGTCTCTAGAGGGACAGAATCAAGTGCAACTTCAGAGGCACTTTTAAACTCCTTAACATCTACCACAATGGCAACTCACACACGTTTTTTAAAAATCCCCAGGAAAAAGCTGAAAGGCACAGAAAAAGATGCAAGAATTGTTGGGGCTCAGCATCCTCAGGGGGTCCAACAGCTGCTGCATCCACAGACACCCACTCCTGTGCTGGTAGCCTCCTTGCAACAGCTTTTCACAACCTTGTAGGATCTCTCACAAGAAAACATCCCAAACACTAGAATATAAACTGCTTCCTGAAGAGGTTCAAATGCTTCCTGAAGTTTATATTCAGGTAGGCTCCTATTTAACCGCTTTCTAAAGTTTACATTCAGGTAGAATCCTGTTCTCAGTCTGAATAGAAACCAGCAAGGTCTTATCCAAACCCCATTTGTCCATAATAAACCCCTCAGTAGTATTTCAGAGGAGGAGGTGGATGAGATGCCAAACCTGAGGGAGAACTCTGTAGCATCCTGGAAGGGGGCTCGGGTTCACAAGGGTCAGCGTCTTCTGGCAAGGGACCTTTGCAGAGCACGGTCCACAGTCGAGGGTGGAGGAGAGCAAACGCAGCTCAGGAACGACACATCTGGGCAAAGAGATGACCCCAAGGGAATGAGAGATACTGAGAGAATGGAGAGTGTTCACCCCGCAGAGCATGGAATGGAGCATAAGACATTTGTCACTGTCCAACAGACGTTTAATACCTCTACAGACCTTTCACATCTTTCCACTCAAACGCATCTTGTCAAGGAGGGGCAAACCCTGAACTCAAGCACTGCAGAGGGTGCCAAGTGCCTGGGCAGAGCATGGGCCTTGTCCCACAGCTGCCTCAGCCCCTCCTTTGCCCAAGGAGGCTTGCAAGGACTCCTCCGACAGGCCCAGCGAGCCGTGAGCTCTGGGGGAGCCTTCCCATTGAGGGTCAGTGCTCACCAAGGCTCAAGGAACACAAGACTCCAATGTCTCAGGAAAAACAACTCCCTTCTCTCCCAGGGTGCTGTTGCCCTGCTAGAAAACTCAGCCGTTTTCCCAGTGCTGAGGGCACAAGCCACCACCTGCCCTAAGGAGTGGGTGATCATCCTCCCAGTTCCTACAGCTCCCTTGCTGCTGCACCCTACGGGTCCCAGGTCTGTCCCTGCTGGCACTTGCATTACAAAACTGCAGCCCAGGCACTGACTGGACGGCTCTGCCTGGGAAAGGGAATGGCACCAGGGAACTGCATCCCTCTTGCCATTAAACTGACACCCAGGGCAGCACCACAGGAGGGAATTTGGCTGCAGCAACAACATCTGCCTTAAGTCTGAGAACTGAGAATGTTAACGCTCAAAAGAGCCAGAGGGAAGCAGGGAAACCTGAGCCTACCTGCCACATCAAGGACTACTTTCCCCTCCCACTCCTGCTGTGAGCCCCTTTCCCATTGCCATGTACCCTCGTTAACTGAGCCAGACCCCAGCTCTCAGCAGGCTGCTCACTGTGTCCCAGACCAATGCTGCAGTGTGGCTGGAACCCAGCACAAGCCCACCTCTTGCAGGAAGAAGGACAGGAGGAGCTTGAGTAATTTTTTACACCTCAAGCAGCAAAAGCCAGGCCAATAAATAATCTCATTCCTGTTCCCCAGAGAAAAAGGCCCAGGGCCATGCTTGGCTGTGAGCAGGGGTGCTTCTCACCATGGGCTGCTTTCCAAGCACTGCTGTTCTCCTACCTAGCTGGGCAGAACCAGCTTCTTAAGCAAGCCTTCTCCTGGAGCTGCAGCCAGCAAACCCCGAGCAAGGCACTGTGCTGGTGGTGGGTGCACGGGGAAGGACGAGCAGCTGCAAGGAGAGCACTGGTACCTGGCTTTGAGGCGCAGAGCCAACACCTCCTTGCCAAAACCATCCACATCCACCACCATATCACAGTCGTATCGTCCCACGTCATTGGAACACAGTGTGACCTGGTGGAAGAGAAGAGCAGTAAATACTTCCCTTCTCCCAAAAGCTCATTACCCACGTGTGGTCTCCTCCGGTTCTTGTTTCGCAGTAAGGGAAGGGAGGATTTTGCCTTAATTCTTCTGCTGGCCCATGCCTAGAGTACAGTCTCTGGGAGTAGCATAAGCCTTCTGGCAATACTGAATTTGTTAAACACACCTTGCAGCTGTCAGGGCATAGGTGGCTAAATTAAAGCATTATACATAATCATGTATATTGAAACTAAAGCTCTACTCACTGCTGCCTTCAAATTAGGGGCCCATTTTTCATTTGACTACAATAACATAAATGCAAAGGAAACGTGTTGACTTGGACAGAATGAGTTCAGCTTTTCAGCAGGAAGCTGAGGGCAAGGTGTGCTCCTGCAGATGCTGGGCAGTTCATGGTTGCCGAGTTTTTTCTTTCCTCACTGAGGATCCCTGCAGTGACCACAACTCATTCTGCTCCCCAGGAGAGGAGAAATGAGACCAGGAAGAAAAGCAAACTGCTTTATACAGTGGCATCTCTCTAACAGCCACCTTCTGTCCTCATCCTTCCTCTGCCTGTTCTCAGTCAAAGAAGTCACACTCAAAACCAACACATGAACAGCTTCTGTTGACCATGTGATCTCAGCTTATGGTTTTGGAGACAAAATGGTGCTCCTTCAGGAACATTCCACATAACCCAGCTACCACATCAGTGCAGATCCCTCCCTCGCAAACGCTGAGAGCCAGCAGCACTAAAGCCCTCCCACAGCCCAGTGAGGCTTCAGCCCCACCTACTGACCCATGTGTGGCCAGACTCCTCCCATACCCTGATCTCTTGGGATCCCTGGGAAGGGATGGTCCCTGTGCTCGGTGTTATGGTGAATTCTGCTGGCTTCTCGTGACATTGAGCCAGTGTGCCTTTTTCCCAGGATGGATGAGCATTGTCTTTCGCTTGATCAAAGCTCGTAAGGCTGGGCTGTCCCTGGCCATCCTCAGGAACACGAAGGTGGAAGGTGATGGGCACCACGGAGGTGTTGATCAGGCGGCATGACAAGGTCTGAGGAAAGCCTAGGAAAATGACACAAATGGCCATGTAGGCACCAAGCATCTCGTGATTTCTGGTGGACAAAAGTGTGCTTGGAGTTTAGCTCTTTGTTATCTGAATGACAGCTCATTGAGCAGCTCAGCGAGCAATTAATCGTCACTTGGACACTGATCCCAGATTGCTGCCTTGGAAATGCCCACTCTTAGCCCTGATGAACACCACAAGTTTCTCTCTCTCTAACTGCTCCAAACCAGCATCATCAATTATTTCCACACACTGATGAATGTGCATCCAGACTGACCATTTACTCTGAAAATTCAAGCCATAAAATTTCCTGTTAACGCTGCCAACACTCCCACCATTTTCAAGATATAAAAGCACTGAGTTGTCATTGGGGAGAAGCTACAGCAAGAGAAAGGGAGAATGGAATGGGGAACTGGAACATGATGCAAAGCACCCCAATGCAGTTTCTTTAGGCAGGATCCTTAAGGTATCTCCTGGCTTGAGGCAACCAGACTGAGCACGTACAACTCACAGCCCACTTCACTGGAGGCAAACCTGAGGCTTGCTCTGAGATCAGTGATTAGGAACCATGTTTCACCTTTGCAAATGGGGACATCACAGCCACACTGCACACTGGCTGGGATTGCTGCCCACAAGAGTTGACACCACTTTAGCTCTGAGACTTGCTTCCCATAACGGAAAGCCAGGGATACAGCCACACCTGGTGGGGATGTCCTGCAGAGCCAGGACACCAGCCCACAGCCTGCTCTGCAGTGGACAGGTGGCTTGGCTGGCCAGCTCTGTGGGGAGGAGACATCTCCCAGGGCCTGCTTACCAAGTGTCATTTGAACCCAGATGGGGAGGAAAACCAACTGCAGGCACAGCAGGGAGCTTCTCTGTGCCCATCAACAGTGACCACTGCCCAGCTCCAGCAGTGACTCCAGCAGGGAGGCAGGAGGGGCACAAAAAGGACAAACATAGGTGCTCCAGTCCGGAATGAGACCAAGGTCACCAGATGCAGACAACAGTCAGCAGCACGGTTAAAAGAAGCAAAGATACAACAGCTGCCTTCAGCTGAAGAGGTCTTAGGAATGAAATCAGAGGAAACAGGATGAATCTCCTATAAGAGAACCATATTTGTGCCTGCTGCCTTTCCTGTTGCTTCATTTATTCAAAAGAAAACTAAGAAGGGGCTCAGCAGTGATATAGGGAGGGGAAGAAGCAGCTCAGAAAGGGTAATAAGTTTTCTTGAAAAGTCCATGAACTGCATGAAAACACAGAGGCATCCTGGGTGCAGAATGATAATGGCCCTTCAGTCAATCCATGACTGATTTCACATTTAAACTGTAGATCATCTCAGTAGAAAGCCTTTTGTGAGCCTGAGATGGAGAACCAGAACCTGCATTCCAATGGTGACGCTCTGGATGTTCAGCCAAAAGCTCTGTCAGCAGAGCTGGGCTTCTGCTGGGGAAGAAGAAGAAGACCACGGCTCTGAGGACACAGGTGCCTGAGGCAGAGCTATTGCTGGGGCATCTGACCTGGTCAGGGATAATGAGGTGCCCTCACACCACTAATTAACATCCCACACTAAAGGTACATGGCTTAAGCTCCCTTCTCCTGCAGTCCCATCCCCTGGGCCCTCCTGGGACAAGGACTTTTACAGTCGTTCTGCTGGCAAGGACTGGGAGATTGGAGCAGAAGAGACTACGAGGGACACCAGAAAATACTGACTTTCTATTCCTTTGGTCCTTTCAGATCTCACGATGGCAAAATGCCATCAGCAGCCCTGGAGTTAACACCCTGCAGGCTGCCATGGAAGGGCACGAGTGACAGATGCTCTTCTGTTCAAGTGCTCCATTTTGGCAAGGCACAGATCCCTCCTGCTGCGTCCAAGGCCAGGGAACACTCACCAAAGGAGACGTCATTGAAGTCAAGGCCACCTGTGCTGAAATGCAGGCTCAGTCCGGTGACGTGGCCCCTGCGAGGACGAGGACAGAGGAGGCAACGGCTTGGTTAAAGGGAACTGCAAAGCCTTTGGCCGTCCTTCTGGCTCAGGTGGGTCAAAGCTGGTGTCAGAGCCCAGTGGGTGTCGAACCAGCCCCTGTGCTCAGCACGGCGTCCGTGGGCACAGGAGGCAGCCAACAGCTGCTGATGGGGCTCAGGGCACCACGGCAGGCAGGGCATGCCCCGAGGTGCTGCTGGCCCCATGGAGTACCCTGTACACACACCCAGAGATGGCTCTGTGCCCTTGCCTTAGGAGAAAGACTGACTCACTACTTTTCTCTTACAAAGTAATAACCTTTTTGTTATGTTTTATCCATTTCCCTTATGTTCTTGGTAAAATGGACTGCAGATTCCTTTTGTTTCTTTACTACCTTGATTCAGTGACTCCCAACAGCAGCCCAGACACAGCCACCTCCAAAGCTCCAGAGCTCCCAGCATCAGCTTTCCTGCCTGCACCACATTACCCCACCAGCCCATGGTTCAGACTAGCTGGGACAAGCCCTCATGCTGCTGTGGTGCTGAGGAGAGAGCTTTGCCTCTCCTTCATCACCCCTTCTCCCCTTGGCTGGGCGAGGATTATCTTTTGCAATGGCACCAGCCCATGGGATGATGCCCAAGTCCTTGTGACAGTCCCTGCTGCTGCAGAGCTCCCCATCTCCCACCCCAGTCCCTTCCTGCTGTGGATAGGAGGTCCCAGAGCATTCCCTGCACAGGAGCCGGGAGCACAGCCTGTGCCTGTGCACGGGCACAAGGGATGATGGGAGGCTGCTGCTGCTCCTTTGGCACGGATCATTAACAGAGGATTTTAGAACCACTTCTTCTGGCTGCAGAATCACCCAGGCTGGCCCATCTCCAAAGCCCTGGGGACCTTGCTGGGTGTTCAGAGGGGACATCCCAGACCAGCAACTGCCCAAAGCTGATGCCTTCCCACTGCCTGCCACAGCCAAGGCGGAGGGAGGTCCCTGCAGGAAGGAGTCACTCCAGCTCCTGGGTACCTGCACTGGGCAGAAGGCATCCCCACACTGAGGGGATGCCAACATCAGAGCCAAGACTAAGACCTCAGGCAACACCTTTTTTCTCTGCTCCACCAGCAAATGAGAGAGGTGACAGATGATTACCCAGAGACAGCTACAGATGTGCCCACCAAGCTCCCAGAGCCCTCCTCACCTGATAGTCAAGGTCACAGGCTTAGGGGATTCCAGCACATTGAAATGGAATTCTTCCTCGAACTCCCCCAGGGTACTGGAACTGAAGGAGATCTGGATGGGCTGGAGCCCATTGGGTGGAATGATGCCCTGCTGGGGCAGAAAGGTGAAGCAGGAGCCACGGGCTGGGGTTGGAGGGATGAGCTCGAAGGGAGCCTTGATAGCTCCTTTGTTAACCAACATTGCCTGCAGCAGCAAGAAAGCAAAATGGAAATGAATGAGCAACCTTCCTTTCTTACAGAAGGCTGAGTTGTTTCTAAGAAACAATTAAGCTCTGGAAAGGCAGAAGATGCCATGTGCTGCTACATGGCAGAAGCCAAAAAAGTACAACAGGAGACAAGTTCTGCCTTTGGGTTTTCATGCAAAGCAGTGATAACTTCACATAAGCAGAGTCACTCCTGGGTTATCCCAGGGACACGGAGCGGGTCACTCCTGGCCAGCATCGCCAAGTTCATTCAGACCCGGCCTGAGGAGCAACGTGGGGCAGTTGCAGCCACGCAGTGAATCCCCACAGAGCTGCTGCTGCTCCAGGGGTGCCCGACCCTGCCAAGGGCAGCACACATTCAGCTTCCGTGGCAGCCAACCAATTTATTGCGAGTAGAAGACAACTCAGAACAGTGCCATCACCAACTTCAGAAGCTCTCCCCAGCTCTGCTAGGGTAGACCATTTGGGTTATTGTATTTTTAATTTAATCTGATAGTTTCTTAGACCTTGCTTAGCCAGATATGTCAAGAAAGGATGAATGTGAGGTGCACAGCAGCTCCACCTATTCTAAAGAGTTGCTCTCTCACATCTCTACACAGCCATGGGGAAACCCTGCCATTGCCATGGACTTATCCATCTGCTTTGGAATTCTTTCCCCCATTGTTAGCCTGGCAAAACCTGTCAGAACAGTTGAGGCAGAAGCAGAGGGATGTCCCTCATTTTGTAGCTTTGCAGCTGCTGTTGAAAATATTCAACCTCTACCTTGAAACTTGAAAACTACTCTCCTCTCGTGTGTTATCTGTGTTACAAATTGCACTTGGGGATCCCATGCTGAGCTGAGGTTTACCTGCAGGGTAGCTGCTTAGGACAGCACTAACAGTATCATCTACTCATTCACCTTTTCTCATGTAATGAAATTAGTATATTGATAGTGAGAAACAATAAAGTATCAGCATCAAAAATGCAGAGAGAGCACTAGCAACTCAGTGTGTCCTTTCCTGCCATGGCAAAGCTTTTGAAAGTGTCTGGCATGATGTAGTGCCTCATTTTCCACCTTTTTCAGTTGCTCTCTCTTGCAGTGGACTCAAGCTCAAACACAGCCAGTTTGTTCCAGCTGCTCTTGAACAGCCCGAGCACAAAGGTGCCTTGAGTCTGAGGCTGAAACAGAAGCCTCTGAACACTTCAGCTTTTTGACCCAGTGTTGCTTTC